ACACAATTCGCTCGATATGACCTTATGGCGATATTAAGGAGGCTTATCCCATGGTAATTGGCGCTGACAGTGGGGTCCTCTTTTTTATGGATTGAGCAGAGCAATTTAATTAAATTCCAATCGTCGGGCATGCTTTCGTTCGACCATATTCTGCACCTTGTTAGCTCTTCACAGCCATGTTTGAATAGTTCTGCCAGTATGCCGTCAGCTTCTGCCGCTTTGTTGTTTTTCAAGCGCGGTTTTTGCTATTCGAACTTCTTCATGGTCAGGTAAAGGAACGTCTTTTCCATCGTCAACGATTGGGGTTTCGGGTTCACCATCTCCGGATTCTCCATTTCCACTACTATTTAAGAGGTTGGAGAAGTGCTCCCTCCATAAATTCAATAAACTCTGGGCATCGGTGGCTAGATCACCTCTTTGTGTCCTGAAAGAGTCTGCACCGGTCTTAAAACATTCCGTAAGTTGTCGTATCTTCTCATAGAATTTCCGAGCATTACCGTTGTCGGCCAGCTTCTCAAGCTCTTCATAATCCCGCATCGCGTCCTCTTTCCTTTTTTGTCTGCAGATTCGACTTGCTTCCCTTTTCACCTCTTGGTGAGTGCTCTCAGAGAGCAGAAGTGCAAGTCGAGCAGAAGAAGAGGCGCATGCGTATCTTCGCTGCAACAAGATAATGGTCAGAGTCGGTGTTGAGTCCTTGTAGTGTACGCACGTCAAGAGAACTGGAGACATGTCTTCCGTCTATCACAACATGATCGATCTGGTTTTGTGTTTTTCGATCAGGGGACAGCCAAGTAGCTTGATTTATTTTTTTGTGCTAGAATCTAGGACTACAGACATAAGGGGATGTTTCGTTCTAAAGGCTGAATTGTCGAACAGTCGTACCAAAGATACCTTCTTTGCCCACCCTGGCATTAAAATCGCCAAGTACGATTTTCACATCGTGTCGGGGGTAGCGATCGTAAGTATTATTTAGATAGCAAACTAAACTGGACCAGGAACACGGCAGAAAGATCAAGGAAATCTGCAACTGCACTCTACGCCTGCAAAACCGAAAAGAGATGGGGACTAAGACCGAGTATCGTACACTGGATATACACATCGGTTGGTCAAGCGCCTACCAACAACCACACACGTCAAAACAGACTACCGCACAAAAAGGAGATGACAAAAACTAACAAAGCGACGGCGTGGGTCGCTAGCTACTTACAAGAACAAAAGACTAAGGTCAAAAACAAAACGAAGTGAACAAATTGCACGACAGCAAGAATTAAACAGCAAAGTCAAATTCCTAAAAATTATTTAACAAAATATGCTTTTGGGGTGCACCCGAGGTGTGGTCCAACCAAACTGGTTACGATCCCACTCGCACTACTCCTGCCGGGGGTGACTTTAACCCGCCTGTATGACTGGGCTCTGGGTGCGGGATGCTATAAGGATGGGTGAGGATTGACGGAGGAAACGACACTGTCGGCACGACAAACCGTACAAAAACAATGAACAGGAAATAAAACAAAATGATTCTTAGCTGTTGCTCGGTCGGGTGTGCGTCCCGACTTCGGTGCTCCTCCGGTGGTGCCGACGCCAAACTCTGGTTCCGCCACTGGAATACCAAAAAAACTTATTTTGCCCTGGGCTTTGACTGCCCTTAAACAAGCCCCGATTGGCTTAACACTTTCACTATTTGCCTCGACTGGCAAACCACTATTCTATGTTTATAAGAAATATCAAGTAAAAAGATGTTCGCACTTTCGTAGATTGCAAGAATCTGATCCGGCACGCACTTACGAGCCAGACCGCAAGCTACGCGTCGGCCCTCAGTAATTTTTCTGCGAGTGTGTATTGGTGCCCAATCATTTGGCGCCGCCCCCATCACCCAAAGGGACCGGGTTGTATAGCGCACGCCACCATGGCACACCGCATTAAAGGAAAAGGCGACAACCCCTTTTACGGGATACCCGCGCAATGCATTCCGTTGCCCTAATTTTTGTTAGTGGGGGGAGCATTTTTGGTTGGCACACACCGAATACAACCGTGCCATCAATCCATGGCTTCAAACAATGCAGCTATTTGCCGACGGATGTCACTGACAACGCTTGAAATGAAAGAAGCTTAGCAAAACAAAGGAAATACATAGACAAACACAAAGAAGCTTTTGTTGCGGCCAGCACGCGACAGTTTAATTTGAATTTCTAAATGAAAAAGTTAAAATTTTCAAATTAGATTTTTTTTTTTTAAATAAAAACATGAACCGTTACTGAGCTGAGTTGATACGCAATAGGCCCGTGGTGATACCGCTATGACACTCTTATCTTCCCCTTCGCATGTCTATCACAAACAACGAGATTACCAATTCTTGCTGAAGCTAGCTTATGCGGCCACAATCATTGGAATAATAGCCTGTTTTCCCGTGAAGCCTCATTGAACGGTTATCTGCCACTTTCGATGCGGTGTTGTTACCCTGTAGAGATTAACTACCGTAACTGATAGTCTTGCTACCGTAGATTTGAACAGAAAAAGTGGCTTAGTATGCGTAGATAATTTTTTTAGAAGAAAATTACGCTTATATAATATAATATTATAGTTAAATATAATATGTCTTTCCAATACTAACTATAAATAATAATTATAATGAATTACATATGTATGTATATAAACTGCAACTGCGTCAGTTACAAAAAATGCAGAAGCACGGTAATTCTAGTAATCTCGTAATCTCTTAAGATCGGCCAATGAATTAGTCTAATGACCATTATATACATAATTCCCTTCCACAGAAGGGGCTAGTAAGAAAACACTCCACAAAATAAAACTACTCTACTTTTAATACCTTTTAAATTAGCAAACTTTGATCCTTAAGACAACGACATCAATTTAAATTTTTGATTTTCCTCTTTTCCGACTTTGGTTTTGAAATATAATATTAATTCAATTCGACAAAAGCGAATTGTATAAACTTGCCATGAATTTGATAATTGTTACCCTGAAAACAAAAACAAAATACACTGTCATTGTTGTATTTGTTCTCCTGCTCTCATCTTTATGAATTCGCCAAACAATTCCTTGGCCAAGTCAAATGATTGCTTGTTCTTCCTTCCATTCCAACAAATTACACGAACAAAACACATGAACATGAGGGACACCAACAAAATATATTGAACGACTTTTCGAATATTTGATTACACAAACAAAACACATGGAATTTTTGTTGTTGTATTTCTGTGGTCTTGAAAAAGTTATTAAACAGAAAATTTTTATAGTTGCCAAACTTTTCCATTATATAATCTTTGCTTCTGCCATTCCTTGGGAGTTTCTACTGTAATTGTTTTGATACTCCATTAACACTTCTACTTTTCATCTGGACATATGCGGCGCATATTGCATTCTGGCCAAGCTAGTGTTCTTGTTGGACAAGTTCGGAATTCTTTCTACTTAGACTTAGGCGTTGTCAGAACCAGAAGACTTCGTTTTACTGCAGTAATTTCTTCTTGGAAAACATTGCACTGATCTGGTAGTCGGAAGGCAATTTTAAAGTCAATCATAAAATCATATGGGGCACAATGGAACAATTTATTGATATCAGAATATGCGGAATTGAAAATGGTCAGGGTTATCGCAGTCTATTATTAGGGCCAATAGTGAGTATGGTCTCTGTGGAGGGCACCTTGGGATTACTAAATCCCTGGAGAAGAAAAGGCTAAATGACGTAATAAATCTAATCCAGCCATACGAAATCGGTCCACCTGGAATTTTGCTGAATTGGGAACAGCAAATGTGCCTGATAAATACTTTAGACTTAAGTGGAGTGTCCTAGAGCGGCTGTACCGAACTTTATATTTCGAGAACATATTATGAGGAATTTTCAGAAATGAGTACGAATAATTGGTTAGACATATAAAAGGACGCAGCCAAAGTGACAATACATTTTTTTATGTTGTTGTTTTTCTTAATTTAGCGGTTCGCTAACCCCGCTTGATTTATCTACATCATCGAGGTCATCTAATGGGAGTTCCAGAAAGCGAGCTGTTTCAACAGGTTTTTTTTTATCAAAGGGAAAGAGGAGTTAGATGAGTTGGTTTTACGAAGCATGCGTAGACGCAGATTAATCTACTGCATTATCCAGACCTGCGTTGTGCCATTATTACGCGGGACTCTCTAGGCAGCTCGAGTTTTCCGCGTGAATCATGTGGGGGTTTGACTCCGAGAACGCCATTCACTGGAAGAGTGCTTAGGAAAGAGAAGCTGTGAAATAGGTTTAATAATATAGGTTTCATGGTACAAATACAAAACTTTTTGTGTGAATTAATTTTAAAATAGCCATTGTGCAGTTTTACTCCGAAGACGCCTTTGTGTCAAAGGATCTAGTAAAGATTTGTTCGAGCTAATTTAAAAAAAGTGATTTCGAGCAAAACACGTTTAAAGTTGAATTCCGTCGAATAAAAAAATTCGGCATTTAGATATCTTTTTCGGCATCCATTTCTAGCCCAGCTCCCCCTTAATGGAGTCTCTGTGAGTGATGTTTAATGCCTCCTGTAGAGCGTTTGTAAAGGCAATATCGAAAGCAGTCTTTGAGGTCAAATGGTTCCCTTCACCTTTTAATAAGTGTCTGTTTGGATGTTCTGTACGGAAAAACCCTAGGAAGAATTGCTTGCACTCCAAAGCATATGCTCCTGTCACGTCAAGAAAGACCCGGATTTTTATCCAGCCAAGGTCTGTTCCACTCGCAATATTCCCAAAAAACCAATTCGATTGATATTTTGCGGTTAGAACGACAACAACATGCTCGTGCCACGATTCTGAGAGCGGGTTTTTGGCAGGCTTGTAGTCTCTCAAATTTTACTTAAGGATCCGGTTATGTAGCAACAATGGCTTAGTAAATTCTATGGGCTTATTTAGCGAAATCGTTACAATATTTTTATATCGACTTTGATGCAATCGATACATCGATTTCTTATCAAAAATTTTGCCGTCCTAACCTTCAAAGAAACGGCATCACTACTCAGTTGTCATGCACAATTTATTTTTAAGTACCATCGGAAAAGTGTACAATTTTCCTTAAAAGAAAAAATTCCATACGGTTTGATCAACTGCGGATGGCTAATATATGCATATGAGTGAGAGAGTATATTGTTCCGAACGAAAATGAATCCAATGTAAGTATTCCAAATTTCCCTTTAATAACCCTTTTGTAATATTTATTTTACTTAGTGCAAATGCCCCAGTGTTTCAAGCTGCTACAGCAGCTGCAGCCGCTGCGGCTGCTTGGCTGAATACTCCTGGAAAGGAAGACTCGGAGGAGTTTGTCGTGCCGAATATAACTGAGAGCAGCCAATGGGCGATGGAGGAAGCTGGTTTCCTTGATGGTGAGATTCAGCGTACTGTTCGTTCTAACGAAGACTATGGTGAATACCCTCGATATGGCTGGGTTGATATAACGAAGGAGTTCTTTGAAGCCTGCGCAGAGCTAAATTTAGGAGAGTTAGCACAAGATATGCTTTTCGGGTTATTCGAAGCTATGTCTGCAATTGAAATGATGGACCCCAAAATGGATGTAGGAATGGGCTATAATAAAAATGATGCGTTGCCTCATACTTTTGAATCCGCTGTAGAGGTACTGCTTACATTTTATTTTAAATTTCATATGGTATTTATATTTCTATATATAGGCAGGTGTTTTAAAACTAGATAATTTGAGCAATGAAGAATTGATAGGCACTTTCGATGCCCTTTTTGCATGTATCGTATCTTGGTTGGAAGGAAATTCTATGGATCAAGTATTGTTTACCTGTCTCTACTTGCATCAGCCAAGCAGCATCAAAGATAAATCACTTCGATCCTTCTGTCATGCCATAAGGAATCTTATAGTTATTATAAAGAATATAATTATAATTAGTAGTGTGAACGAAGAAGAAGATTTCCAGCTTTATGGGAATTCCTCTTTCTTGGCAGCTGAAGACTGTCAACCGACAGCAGTACCAACTCAGCTTAAAGAAGCTGAGGACGATTTAGTTCGAATTAGCAAAACGGAGAAACAACCAGAATCTACAATGGCAGTGGTGCATCGGCTACGATTTATGCGCCATTTTTACCAATCAATTTTTCAGTTTGATTGCGTCATGGCAAGTGCACCAACTGAGTCTAGTATGAATGAAATTTACAAAAATTTGAACGCATCTCTCGAATTAATACCCCAAATAAAACGCTCAATCGAAAAGGGTATACAACCTATTCCAAATTGTAAGTTAACAAACCTTAAATTAATTGTAGAAGTCCATCGTTTTGTATACTGATTATTGCAGCTGACTCTCCAAATCCAATTGGTTTCTCGCCTCGAATACACGACAGGAGCCAACCACCAACATTTCCACGAAATGTAAAAATTCGTGATCGCCCCACTAGTATACAATTTCTAGAGGACTTAGTGCATCGGCTGAAGTATGCTTGTAAAGTAGTTCGTTTGCGGGATTATTACTCAGCTTTGGTAACTATAAAACTATTATTAGTTAATGACATTATTAACTTTCTTCATCATTATAAGAATTTTTTCATAGAATTCAGTAAGAAATCTGGACAATGTGTACTCTCACGAAGTGTACTACAGGGATTGTTCATCTCTAATCGTCGACTAATTTTCGGAACAATTCCAATTAAAGACTTTCTATGGGATTCAGTTCGTGCTTTTAACTCTCCACCAGTCCTGAACCCAAAACATCCTCTGGCATCAGATCCTAAGATACAAATGCACTTAGATACTTTCTTTCGGTACTGCATCAGTTTGAACACATTTACTCAGTTTATACGTATTTGTGGTTTCAATCGAGCCCGACAGCGTGATAAATTGGCACGTTTTGTTGATAGTTTTGATTCGATACAGGTGGAGGCGGCAAGATTGGACTCTCATATGACCATTATGGCTAACGAAAAAGCTGCCGAAGGCAATGAAGCACATGCAACTGCACTTAAGCACAGTTCTCAGTTTGCAACTTGGGTTTTATACAACTGTTTTCGAGCAATGTTGTTGTACTTGATGTCTGGCTTTGAGTTAGAACTATATTCTGTACATGAGTTCATGTATATTTATTGGTAAAATTAAAGTGAAATGCAATTTGGCAGAATTCATTATATTCCATTTCAGGTATCCACATGAGCTCCTGATAAGCTTTATGATATCAGCCTTGACACGCACAGAAAATAATCTTCTTGTTCAAGAAGAATATGCAGAGCACCAAAGCAAACTGCAAGGAATCAATTCGAAAAATCGCAAGCCTAAACTAAAAAAGAATAAGAAGCAACAAAAACCGTACAGACAAGAAATCGTTTACTATCATGCATTGTCAAATATGTGTGGAGGATTTTACAAAGCTCTGGGAGCTCTGACCAAAGACGGACGAATACGACAACCTATGCCAAAGTTCGATAATGAGGAAATTCGTTTTAACCGAAGGTTTGTTCCTTTCGCTACTTTAACCAGTCCGCCTCCGGTTTCTTATGGAGAGTTTAAAAATATAAGAGAACATATGATGCGACCACCGTCCTCAGAAATTTATGCGATAGCGGCAAAGCATTTCGACCAAGCGAAGAATGTACTGGAGTCTATACAAAACCCTGAGCAAGAGGTAATATAATCAGCACATTTATACTCATAGGCATTTATATTGTTTAATGTTTTAACAGATTTTAGATATGCTTCATGTCGCTAAAGTAAATTACGTTGTCATGAATGTTTTAGCAAAAGGTCACCAAAAGGATTCAAAGACACAACCCGATTTCGACTTCTCTAAGCATCGTCATTTTCCCATCATAAAGTTAAATTGACATAAAATTAAGGTTTATTTATTTAGGTAATCTTACTAAATATTCAAGTGTAAGGATATGATTCCGCCTAATTTTGTTTTGACCGTAGACTTTGTGATCACAGTCTAGCAAATATATTCATACAATCAGAGTGCATAATGTCGACCCATAAAAATTTTATTTCTTATTTTCATCAGCAACAATATCTTGTTTTAATATATATTCATTTACATAGCCTTTACCGGTTGGTATCTTGCAGCTTTGTTTGCATGTATATACAGCTACTGTTCCCCAATCAAGATTGTCATCCTTTAGTAAATTAAGCATTTGCGGCAGTATTTGAAATTCAAATTGTCGCTCACTAGTACAAAGTTCACATTTGGGGATAATTATGTTTTTACCAATTGTCTTCTCAACATCAGATATCCAAAGTGGGCTTCCTCCTCGTTTGTACCTCAAAATTTGTTCAGGGTCTTTACTAACTTCTTTTTTGAATTTTCTAAAATACTTGTCGTCCGCGACATCAGATTCACTAATATATTTGTCTAATTCGACCTCTGGCACATCTTTTAAAGTGCCAGTGTTTCCAGATGCTACCAAGTTTTGATATTCATTCCAGCGTTCAGTTTCTGCTCTTTCATCATCCTTGTCCACATCAGATTCTTCTTCAGAATTATTCGCCTCAACTACAATTTCATATTCTGGAAACCGCACTTCAGGTAAAACTTCTTTAACTTCAGTTTCAATGCTATTTTCAAAATTACATAGCTTTTTGTGATGAGGCCAGTGCGCACGTTGATGTTTCACACAGCAATAATTTGATTTTCGACACCGACTGCAAGCTAAAGGTCCCAAGCAGCCGCATGCAATACACACTTTTTTAGTTGTTTGGATTTCTTGCTACAAAAAATTGGTCATATAAGAATTTTTTCTCACAACATTAGTGGCAATAACTACCAGAGGTTTTCCTTCTTCTTTAGGTGGATCCTCGGAATAGAACGAGTTTTTCTTCGGAAGTTGGCTCCGGTAAGCAGTGAAATTGCTATTAAGAAAAGAAAAATGGAAAGTTATCTATTCTGGAGTTCGCATAATTGGCATAGCGTAGATTGTCGTTTAAATTAGGAAATCAATAGTGTATTACTTACTTTGCTGAATTGGTCTTCTGGCAAACGCTTGAGCGACACACAAAAATGAAAATAGTCCGATGAAAGTTGTGTTCATCTTCAAATGGGGCATATATCTGAAGCATAGATGCAGCGTAAACAAAAAGCAGTAGCTACTATGGAATACCAACCTGACACAAAAAGGATTTTGGTTCATTACACGATTCGCATAACAGCTCTTTAGTGCTCGGCAGGTTTTCTAGTTCTAACCATGCTGGCTTTCCACCTATTTTGCTGGGAAAGTAACGATTTGTCAACCAGGCACTTTCACGTAGTTCCGCAAAACCTAAGTCTACATCCATCATGTTCTCTAAAAAGATTGAACACCTTTGCATATATATGTAATAAAGAAACACATTTATTTAAAATAAAGATGGGTTAAAAATCTACTATCGATAAATAACCGTCCAACGTAATGCCGGGATTCAGTGAACAGTACTTTCCTGCAAATCCATACTTCTGCTTCAGGAATAATTTTGATTCAATTTCGAATTACCAAGCAACACTGAGTCACCGGGGCAGGGAATCTATAATAATGAAAAAGTGCAAATGACTTTTGGTTTTTGGTTCGAACTGTCCTTCGTACAGCCTTAGACTGAGTTTACATGAGGATACTTTTTGACGCTTATTTTCCTTTTTGTGTCCTTCACGTTCACACAGCGATACTATCTTCAAACAATTTTTTTGACATTTGTTTCTTCATTTTTTTTCTATTCCGCTTTATTTTACAGCCTTATCATGTATTGCGAAGCGAACGTTCGTTTCGTGTCAGACATGAGTCGTTCGCATATTTATATTACGTATTTCGAACACAAATCCAAATGATAACAGCTGATTCTTTTATGATATTGTTGCGAAAATGCGAGGCGAATGTCAGATGAAAGAGAGAAGCCGATAACTAGTACGTTCTAGAAACGATAAAACAAGAACCTTCCATAGCGAACAATTCGATGCTTCTACGCTTTCGTCTGCGAGCAGCCGACTGCTATATAAAGGCGACACTCAGCTGCAAGTCAAGTTAGTGATAAAGTAAACTCGTTGGCGTTAACATCAGTAAAGTCGTAAAGTGAACGCGTTGGGAATTACATTTAAGTAGAGTGAATTGTGCAAGTTGATGATAGTGATTGTAAATAGTAGAGTGTATTGTAATTGTATTGTGAATTACGGAGTAAATAAAAGGACATTAGATAAAATCTTTATAACGAAAGAAACTGCAAATTAAGTTGGCGAGTTTTATTTAACAATCCAGAGATCGTACCCGAAGGATTTAGAAAATAATCGAGGTTGATTTAGTAAAATCGTAACAATATGTTATTGAAACGTACTTTCTCTACTACGAATAGTATGCAAAACAACGAAGGGACATGTCAAATTCAAACGAAAGTTGTTTTGGTATCGTTTCGTTATGGAGTCTTCGTGAGCCTATTATGTACCGGTACGTATTTTTCAAAACGTCGAATGACATTCCTTGCTTTTTCATGTCTGCCATTAAAGCGCCTCTGGATTCCGTCACCGGGCAAATATGGCTGCAGTGGATATCCAGAGTCACCTGTTGAGAAGCATATAATTTTTTTAAATATTTAGACATTTGTAATGCAAATTTCACACCAAGTAGCCATGTATTGATTTTGCCATTTTTAAAATCTGAATTAAGAATTTGTTCTGCTGTACTGTGCTTCCATATAAAAGTATCGTGGTTGGGCCCAGGATGTCCCGCGTCAACGTAAGTAATGACCATGTTGTGATTACAAATCTGTTAATAACAAAGAAGAAAAGAATATGTGTTATAAGTCGATACCTCGATTATTTTCTGAATGCTTCGGGTATGATCTCTGGATTGTTAAATAAAAAATCTCCAAATTAATTTTCAGTTTCTTTCGTTACAAAGAATTTATCTAAAGTCCTTTAATTACTCAGTAATTCACAATTGAATTACAATGCACTTTACTAGTTACAATCACTTAAACTTTCACAATTTACTTTACTTAAATGTAATCCCAACACGTTTACTTTACGACTCTATACTGATGTTATCGCCAACGAGTTCAGTTTGCAACTCACTTACATGGTAGCTGAGTGTCGCCCTTATATAGCAGTCGATTGCTCGCAGACGAAAGTGTAGAATAATCGAGTTGTTCGCTATTGAAGGTTCTCGTTTTATCGTTTAGAATGTACTAGTTATCGGCGTGCATCTGACATTCACCTCGCATTTTCGCAACAATATGTGGTCCCTGAACTCTGCTTTAAAACCGGTTACTTCAAATAGATTTTTTTTATTGGAATGTGAAACTGTGGCAGCTGTGGCCTTTGGTACATTTGGAAAAGAATAATGAAATGTGATAACAGCGGAGAATAAGCGTAATATACAAATTTTAAGTCGCGAATGCAGAAAAATATTTCAAGGAAATTTCGCTATAAAATAATATAATATTATAGTAATTTAAGGAGAAAATGCTTAAATAACTAATTTCTTCCAAATTTTATATGACTTCTGAAGAATTTAGATAAAAAGTACGGAAACTGTTTGTTGCAGAGAAGGAAAACATTTATGCAATATTTGTCATTGTGGTAAATTTGAATACATGAATGCACTGCGTTTCAAATAATTCAACTTCAAAGTAAAAGTGAAAAATTTTTAAAAGTTCATAGTTATTATCATAAAAAAAAAATTGTTTCAAAAATATTAGCAGCTGAACAAGCTAAAAATAACCACACAACCACCTCCGCATCTTTATCTTTGCCGTAAACGGTATTTGTAGCTGAAAGCTAGTGACATTTTCTTTTGTTCCGAGTAAATCACGGAGTGTTGAAATGGAAATTCATAACTATATTTAATACTATTTTTGACAGTCATACCATAAAATATTTGTAAGTGTCAATAAGTACTAAGAATTTACAAAGGATAGAGAGTTTGAAGTAAAATACATTCATATCTAGGCACAATCTGCGCCCTCAATTAAAAAAAAAATTAGAAAAAAAGTAAATAGCCAAAAATACTATTGGGAACGACCTTATGCCTGGGTGCTTTTAGATTGATGAAGCAGGCCGGCAGAACGACAGTTAAATATTTTCCCTGTTTACAAGTATCTACAAATTGTTCTCATGAAAAGGCATTCAAATTGTGTTGCACTGAATTAAATGCACGATGTAATCCCATAGTATATATGTGAATTAACTTAAAATAGTAATATCGCGAGCAATCATCAACTTGTCATTGAATTAAGAGGGGAAATACATTTTTTGGAAGAATATTGTAAAATGAGGAATGACTCATGATTTGTTGTTTGTATTAAGTTGTTTAGTATTAGTTAAAGAAAGTAATATGTGGTATTAAACAGTGATCGTGGGGCAAATTGAGAAGGTATTGTTTTCTTGAGAATATTCAAATTGTGACAGAAACTGAAGATGACAGTAAGATCCAAATTCTTTTTGAGTGGGGCCAACTTTTGGATTGTTTGTTTACCGTACAAATTATTTCGTTGAATTCGGTAATATATACATATTTAGAAGTTTCAGTTTTCTGTATTTGAACTTATCTTTACATAAATAACTGATATAAGCCGGAGTAGCAAATCTAGTAGAAAAAAACTGTTATTTACACGTTTCAATATTTAAAGGTCCTAACTAAACATATTTGCTGTAGTCACAACCAGAAATTTTATTTCATATGCAATATTAATTATTTTGAAAAAAATCGTACATTTTTTTTTGAACATGATGCTCGTTAATCTTTTTTTCTACCTTTAGCTTCAAATGTGCAATTTTGAAAATGGGTTAACTCCTTATAAAAAAGAACAATATCCTTGTGAAATGTATATAAATATATTTATTGTTATTGTTTAAGTTACTCCCGTTCCCATGGACTGGTAGGAGATTACTTAATATGATTTATGTCGCAGGAAAAATGTATAATTTTATTATCAAAATTAAATTTTCTATAATAAAATTTGACATATATCTACTATAAAAAGTCATCACCTTTACATTTTTTAATGTGCTGTGTGGGCGCAGTTTCGTATCCAATTGAATTTAGTCCGTATTGAATGTTAAAATAATAATAATATTAAGATTCATTAGATTATAACAATATAAATTATATTATAAATTACGCATGATCCACATATTAGGCAAGAAAAGGTGTTCCCAATGGTAATACGTATGTACACAAAACTACTACTGTACCATATTACATATAAATCAAACGATTTAAAAATGAATTAGACTTTTTTGAATAGATCGATCCCACTTCTCGTTCTCTACGCCATTCTTACTTTTGAATATTTTCTATTAGATTAAATTTTATTTCACGTTGGAAATACGTTCCGAGGAATATTAATACAGGGCTAAGTTGGTATATGAAAAATTGCTATGTCCTACTCTTAAATCCATCGTAGAGTTTAATAATATTTTTAGCGATTCATATTTAAGTCTGCTTATACATATTCATGCATATTTTTTATTGTACTTTCACACTTTAATGTTTTTTTCTTTTTCACAGACGACTACTTTTAAGACGCCCTTATAAAGCTCAAAAATGTCTGACTTTATGCCACGTGATATGCTTCCTGATTTATGGGAAGAAATCCTAAAACGTCACTGGATTTATTTAGAAACGGATGGTAGTATAGAAAAAATTGAAGAAGGAAAGAGATTAGAAAGTAAGTTTTTTCATGTAATTGAAAACAAGAAATAAATGTTTCTTTATATTTGATAGATTGCTTTAAAGAGTTTTTGTGCGTCGTGCCACATGATCGAAAATTTTTCCTACCTGAGACGGGTCATGTACTTAGAAAATCTGTTCGAGAAATGGATGAGTTCAGTGCGTATAAGGCAATCATTGGTTTTCGATCAATTAGCCAGTATGCAAATAACTTATTTACAAAGCCATGGCGAAAAGAATTTAGAGTATTAAAGGTTTGTTTTTTAACTTTTTTTGCTTTGAAGAACATTTTAAATTGAGCAATTACTTTTAGATGTATTCTGGTTTCTATCAACATGAAATTAAATCGAATTTGTGTGATGCTGAAAGGCTTTTTGAAGCTATGGGGTACAGACAGGTTTCGGAAGAGATTCTAGTGTTAGATGGCCCCATTTGTCCCGATCAAGTGACAAACGTTTCACGTGATGCTATGGCAGCATATGTTGAGTGCCAAATCATGGAACATATTTATGCAGGACTCATTGCCATGGGATTAACATGTTCTTGGCAGGACGTATTTCATTATCGAGAAAAATTTATTGGTAAATATTTATTTTAATTATATGTTAAGAAATGATCATACCCGCTATAATGAGAATTTTTAATAACTGCAGGTGGAATTTCACAAACCATCAAAAGCTTGGCTTATGCAATACAAGAAAAACAATCACGAAAGGAAAAACTTATTAATACTGGTACATATTTTTTTTAAATACTTTCACTGCATCTGGCTAACTTACTATCGTTATTGCAGATAATTGTTATGCTAGTATTCAGCATTCGCCACTAACGTTGACCACTTCGGATTGTCCTAATTGCTTGCTTTACAATCGGATGCCAGCGCAAACACAATACCCAATTCATAGTGACAACCACGGAACTTGTGCAATTCATACGCCTTCGTCATCAGCAGTAACAAATCATTTGTATAATGGAAATAGTAAAATGCCTTCATATCCAGTATCAGGATATCAACAGTCACAGCAAACAGGTGTTGCGATGCCCTTGGGAAGCATGCAACACTCACGAAGTTTGGATCATTACAGCGAACCGGCTCCGCAGTTACCACATAGACATTCATTTGATCATCAGCAAAAAGGTTGCACTGCTCATCATTATAAGCCACCACATCAATTACCGGTACAACATGTCTACGAATCACCTTATGATTGTTTAGATGGAACCAGTATGGGTGGTAGTAGTGTTTCCTATGCAGCCGTTGTTGCTTCAGGTACCGGCGGTTCAAATAACGGAATGAACTCTGCTTACTCTCATCCTTACAACGTGTCGGGCAATCGCTATCCATTGCCATACAATATTTCAAATCAGTTAAATTCACACTACGCAACACCAAATGTAACTTGCAACGGTGTCAAAGGTGATCCTTATAATAATGTGGATAACAATGGTTACGCCTCCGTGTCAAAGTCGCAAAACTATAATTGCCATCAGCCGTCACCTGTAGTTGCTGGCAGTAAAGATTTCCAAGCGTATCGGCAACGTTCCTTTCCACCTGACCAACAGTTGATAGAATTTGATGATCGGGCGCCACTTAAATCACATGATTTTTACGCACAACTTCACGGAATATCACATTGCAATTCGTTCGACTATGTTCGTGAACGAGAAAGAGATCGGGTATTTGACCAACAGCTACGCTCAAGTCGGGCTGCAAACATGACTACATGTGCGCAACCGAAAGATATTATGATGGGTCATCAATATCTGCAGCAGAATTCACAGCAACCCTCATCGGATGACATGTATGGCAACTATGTTTACGCATGCCCATTGCTGAAAGCTGATCGCTTGAAAGCTAACTCTTCGGCAAATGTTGCAGCTAAGCAGGAACGGAACTCAAATATAATAGTAAGTAAGAGTGTTTACTCAGTTGAATACTTCGTGTTATTATAAATATATTATTATTGTTATCGTTGAAGCTACACTCTTTCTTCTTAAATGTTACTAGATAGAATAGATTCTTATCGTTAATTGTAATAAGATAGATTTTATTGGTCAAGCGGTGTTATAATATATAAACGTTAAGTTCAGGGTTGGGGAAGTATAAAAGCCGGATATGGGAGATATTTGTAGACAAATAATACTTTCCAGCCGGTGCAGCTTCCTTAAATTGACATTTTTGGAAGGAATTTTTATAAAGCTAAATTTCATGTCACGTACATATCTTAATATGTCTGATTCTCTTGATGCAGAACTAGAAGAGGTTGAATAAAATATGACTCCTTCAACTTCAAGTAGGAATTGCCTGAACTTCGAAAGGGTACGTTATTCTTAATGACTTATAGAATTTTATCTGAAAAATTCAAGTTTAAAATTGTTAGATTGGCTTTGCGGTTTTGAATATTTTTAATGGTTTCTAGTGTGTTCTTCAGTTCCAACCTCCAATACCGTAATAATATTATTTTATATTTTTTGTTTATTTCAGGATGTCCTTGACAATAACGATAAGCATTTGCAACTGCATAATATGGAATTGAAGGAAAATACTATAGCCTTTAGTGGAACTGCTGCTAGCGGCAGTCGGCGAAAAATATCTTCACATGCCAACGAAGCTTCAGAAACAAGTTTTGAATCAAATTTCGATGATTACGTGACAGTGGGTCATAGTGAGCACCCTATGCAACGTTCTCCGACACAAGCTTCCAAGAATCAAGATGGTGTTGGTTCTTTTGAATCTTGGAACTACGTTTTCAAAAATCTGGAACGAGCTGGTTATTCAAAAGATTTAGGTGAACGTGGAGACCTTCTAGTGCAAGGCTTAGATTTGGATTCAAAGAATTTATCAAATGGTGGTGGCGGAAGCTGTAGTGGTGTTAAAGCCAACACGGAAAGCCGTCGGTCAAATCATGTGGATGCAACAAAATCAGGACGACAAACAAATAATGATCTGGGCAAAACTCGGCTACCAGATAAAACGAGTACTGCAACAACGTGGAGGGAAGGCGAAAAACGGGATGAAAAGAGGTTAGGAAATGGCGCTAGCAATAAAGAAAAGTCTATACTGAAGCAGCAACCTGTAAAGAAAACAAAATCGGCTTTAAAGCAAACTTCAAATTCTTTCACATCTTCAGGTTATGACAATAATAATGGCAATAACGAAATCCAATCTGAAAAGAACACTCGGCCAAGAAGCCGAAAGCTGAACGCCGCAATAGTGAGCAATACACACCCTTCCAGGAGCGATCAAAATGAATGGAGTTGCAGATTTTGCACTTTTCTAAATCCAAACTCGAAGCGAATTTGCGAGATGTGCTGCCGCAGCAAGGATTTAAATTTAGACGCAACCGTTTCCCATACTCCCACTTGCGTTTAATCGCTTTCCACGGTATATATACCGTAAATCTTCCAAATAAGCATGACATAGAGCCTTTCCCTATGTTGTATAGTTGAATTAAATTGAATTCATTGAATAATTTAAATTACAGGCTTAAATTTATATTACACAAGAGTGGATAATACGAATAATCACATTTGCTCTGAAAAATCATAGTCGAATCTATGAATAACTTTAAAAAGTTCTAATTTTTATATCACCTTTGCAAGGCCCTAGTTGTTATCCTGGGCTCCTTCCTTAAACCTGGTTATGCCAGCTTATTGATGGGCCAAAAGTATTCTGTGTTATTTTTTATTTATATATGTATGTTTACTCTTTTTTATTCATTGTTAAAACTTAATAAATGTGTATTGTTATAAAAATTAATAGACTTGAGAAGTAGAAGCAATCAAGGTTTTAGTCCTTAGTTTCCGTTATGTGCCTCCTGATTTATTGTTTAACGAATAGCTAATCATACATTTTAAAATACGAATTTGAGTGTAAAATTTGACTTACGAGTATAACGAATTAAAAGAATTGCATATTTTTAAGCAAGCATATATGTATATACATATATATTTACAAAACCTCCTTAAATTAAAAATTAATTAAAAGGAAAATCTATATATTTTATAATTATTTAGAAAAGCTGAAAATTGTAATTGAAGACGACAATGATTAATGTAATGTATATAAAAGTTCGAATATTAAACTAAAGATGTAGCAATCGATGGATGTAAAAAGACACCACTGCGAAGAGAAAATAGTTCGAACACTTTTATATCGTATATTGTAAGCATAGAAAAGTCATCTACCAATTGTAGTCTTCTTTATCTTATTAAAGTAATTTATAGTGAATTCGAGGAACAAGGAACTAAAACAGTAAACGAAAAATATACAGCACCAAATGGGCAATCATAAAAATGCTGAAAATAAAAACGATTTACCCAATTAAGTAGTGGTTTTTGTTGTTCCCCTGTTGTTTGACACTAGTCACATTTGACCCCAGATGGAGCACATCGAGTTGTAATTGTTACATCCATTGGAAATTCGCTTACTTAAGTGCAATTTATTAGACACTGCGCTCAGAACTGTAAGAGCAATATGTGCCACTTATGTAAAAATTCTTGAAAAAAGTTACAATATTATAAATTGAATAATTTCATACATCTTATTAACAGTATATACAAAATAAAAACTTATGATATTAAATAATAATTGAAAAATAGCGATTGCAGCATTGCTAATTTGAAACGGTTGTTGAATAAAGTTTGTAAGACAGAAACGAGCAACTTCATTGAAGAATAAATAGACTAAGGAATATTTTTCATAATTCACTAATAAATATGGAAAATTCATGCTTTAATACCTATGAACTTACACACATATACTGAAATGTAAATTTGTATGTAAAATTGTTTAGAGAAGCAGGTTTTGACCCCGGTAAATGTTGCAAGTTTGTTGAGTTTGATGCAAGGACTTAAAGTATGGCCGACAGAACTGAAAAACATGCTAAAACATCATTTTTTGAATTTGTTAATTTTATCGTTATATATAGGTGCATAAGTAACCTTTTTTCAAAATATGGTATTACGATTTATGTTTTCCCTTAGTTGTGAGTGTTTTATGCCTTATTTAGTCCCCATAAATTAAACTTATATTATTGAATAATTATTCATAATATGCAATATACCTGTATGTATGTATGTAATTCTGAAAAGATATAACAAACCTATATATGAGATTTAACTGAAAAATAAAATGTAAATTGTTTCATTTACCTGACACAAATTAAATACATACTTATATACAAATCCTTTTGACGTTTTTATTTGTCTAGATAAAACATATAATATATACACGTATGTTGGATGGGACAAGGACGGAAGCGGGAATGTTCTTGTGACATTTGCTATAGCGGCCAAGAGGGTACATTTGGTGTCGGATTCGTGGCGGGAGAAAGACTCCGTCGGCGAGTACAAGTATTCACCTCGGTGGATGAACGTCTCGACAGAATCAGCCTCAAAGCGAAATTTTCTAATATATAGCTGATTTGTGCACACGCCCTGACAATCTTATATCAGCGCCTGAAAAGTACTCATGTGCGTCGTCCCGCCACGATGTGAAAATCGTGCTTGACAACTTTAAAGTCAGAGTGAGCGAAGATGGTATCTTCGGCAAAACTGTAGGAAAATTCAGGCTCCCCAAAAGGAACTTCGCTGGAGCCCGAAATATGGTTGTCTGTAGCACAAGCTACTTGGCTGTACCTTGACGGAAGCCATGTATGTCTCCAGCGTTCTTGACTCGCGAGCACTCCGAGAACACAACATAGGATTGGACCACCTTTTTGTTGCAGCAGGGATACGGACTCCCGTCAACAAACAGACAGAAGGTTCGACGTCGAAAAGCTGCAATCAAAGAAGACAACTGACTACTTCTGCGCTCTGTGAGCACTGATCAACGAAACTATTGGGTTTCGAAAAGGTCGTAAAAACAAAAGGTACGATATGAACTGCCTTGTCGCAGAGTAAAGAAGGCAGGCTGCCTGCCTCACCTCGAGAGCAGATCGAGAGTACTGCGTGTAGGGTTGGAAAGAGAAAGGGAAGCGAGACGCATTTGCCGACGAAAAAGGAAAGAGGCCGAAATGCGTGAGTATGAAGAATCGAAAATTCTACGAAAAGATAACACGACTGACAGAAGGTTTCAAGACTGGAGCAGATTCTTGTAGAACACAAAGAGGTGATCTAGTAACTGGTGTACAGAATATATTGAATTTATGGAAGGAACGCTTCCTCAGCCTGCTGTATAGCAGTGATTCCCCATTCGATGATGATGAAATAAATATTTCAGTAGCTGGCTATGAAGAATAGAAATCGGTCACTTGGAAGACAACAACATGGACCGGACCGATGGATAACCCCGTTTAGGTCAACAGGTATGATTAATTTAAGTATGCCAACGGAGGAACACCTCGCAGCTGGGCTGCTCCACATCCTTCTAATCAGGGCTGGTGGCGAATACAACTCTGGTCCGACGAATTACTTCTGCTGCGTGCGCCACAAAAATCTCCACCACTCCTCCATCTCGGTTGCTTGCAACCAGGGCCTGCTTGGGCCTTAAGACCCATAGGGAGTGGACCACAAGTTATGTGGCCCCATGCTGCCAAAGCCCAAGTGCGTCATCAGCCTCCACGGCAGTACCTTTAGCACCTTTACCCACTTTGGATAACCAACAGACCTCCTGTCAATTGCTGCGATCCAGGGAACAAGCTGACCGCCCGCTCAGGTCTTCTGAGCAGGGCCAGATACAACATAATCCGCAAGGATCCCAAGCGAGAAAATGGGGAGGGCTTAGCGTTCATCCTACACAACACCGTGTAGTATCATCTTACCGACGGCGACATTGAACGCAAGGCTACCCTAGAATGTCAGGGCATAGCTATTCGGCCAATCGATGCCGAGGTCGGGATATTCAATATATACATGCCTCCTGTTGTTGCCCACTTGGATATAGTTTCGATATAGGTGCGCTACTCAGAGGCGAAACCCATTTGGTGTTGGGCGATCTAAACGCGCATCACGATCTTTGGCATTCTAGCCTTTCAAATGACCTTAGAGGAATGAAGCTGACGGAGCAGAGCAGGAAAGAGGTGCAGGGGTTATCGGGAAGGCCAAAGCCTCCAAACCCATCGGTCCCAACGGAATAAGCACGCTGATGCTAAAACATCTTGGACCAGCGGGAACAGACTTTCTTATCAAGGTCCTTAGCTTGTTTTTGACCACCCTAATGATACCTGACGTGTGGAAAACGGGCAGGGTGTTCTCGCTACTCAAGCCAGGGAAACCAGCCAATAAACGAGAGTCTTATCGGCCGATAACTTTCCTCTCCCTAGTAGCGAAGATACTTGAGGCCTTGCTGCTCCCGACTTTACTCATCATCTGCGTTCAGCAGCACATCAGCATGGCTTCCGTAAAGTGTATAGTACCACCAGAACAGCACTAAATGCCATATATACTCAGATATTTAATGGCCTTAACCAAAACCGTCCCTGCGCCCGAACTATCCTGGTAGCACTGGATCTGTCAAAAGCTACTGACAAAGTCAACCATTCAGCGCTGCCAACGGACATTGAGGAATCTTCATCACCGCCGGGGCTGTAGAGGTAATGGGTATCTGTGTGATCGACAACCATCGGCTATATTCCGTGGTGAAACATCGAAACTTAGCAAAATTAAACAAGGCGTTCTGCAGGGTGGTGTCCTCATCCCACTACTGTTTACTTGTTACAAATCGCAAATCCCTCCTCGACTCAAAAAATGTTTCCCTAACCTCGTATGCCGATGATTGCACGATATTGGCGTCTGGCCAGGGTATTAATAACCTCTGTTCGAAAGTGAACTGCTACCTTGCCGATTTTTCTCACGTCTTCACTGCACAAAGCGCAAACCTTGCTGGTAACTTACAAAGCAATTAGCCGGCCGGTCGTAAGCTATGCTGCACCGATCTGCTCACCTGGGTCGAACGAGACGTAGATGAAGAACAGGCTACAGGCTTGCCAAAACACCGAGTCTGGAAACCTACTGATGTCATCGGAGCACTACTTGCGCATAGATGTTTTGCTGTGCAAGCAATTCCTATTGGGATGGTACTATAGGGAGCACCAAAATACGCACCTTATTGAAGCTGAACCTCCTCTCAGACACATACTTGTAGTTGACCTAAAGGACAGCATCCAGCAAGATGTGCAACAACCCCAGGACAGGACGGCGTACAGACAAGCATTGAGCGCCATTCACCAGGAGTCAGTCAACATCTTTAAAGACTCCCTTCTTGTGAATGGCATGCTTGGAAAAAATCACCACCCATTGCAGACAACGAGCTCGACCTGCCTCGAGAGACCCACATGACCTTGACACAACTTAGGTCTGGATACTGTAGCGAGCTAAACTTCTACCAATCTAAACTCGATCCCAGCATACCCAACGTATGTCTTGCATGTGGAGAGTCTCTGAACGACACCTCTTCACATGCCCTCTTAAGCCGACACATCTAATCGCCTCAACCTCTAGTCTGATCTCGACGAAACAGCACGTTTCCTGGACTTCCCATCAGATGACCTCGGCGACTTAGACTCGTCCCCAAGCGGGGTTAGCGAACCGCTACAGCTACAATAAGATGGATTACCGGCCGAGCTATTCAAATACAGCGCTGAGGAACTGATAATGTCCTTGCATCGGCTTCGTGTGAAAGACAGAAGCCCACCGTCAACAAACTGTTTTACCTTATCAGTGTACCCCTTCCTTCGTCAATTTTAAAGCCGCCTTCGACAGCACAAATATAAGCAGCCTCTATCCAGCTATTTCTGCATTCGGTATCCCCGCAAAACTACCCCTCCGAACCATTCGATTCCGTGTGTTCTGCTTTCTCCAGACAAAACGAAATATCTCCTGTCATCAAACAAACAGTCGTCACATTCACGACTCGGCTCCCACGTCACTGTTGTCAGTCAACTTTGATCTCTTCTATCTTGGAACCAACAATAATGTCAGACTTGAAATCTAGCGCAAAACTTCTCTTGCTAACAAGTGATAATTTGGAAGGTCCGGACAATTGAAAAGTGAAGTCCTCTCTCGACGAATGAAGACCAAACACAATAAGTCGCTCATCGTTCCTGGTGTTAGGAGTTTTCGAGCGAAAGCTTATGTGTAAGTTTTATGGCCGATGGAACAATGATACAGAGACATTGAGACATATGCTCATCAATTCGTGGGCGGTATTTCGATTTATCGGAAAATTCCAATCGGAAAAATCTGACGAGGAGTTTTTTTGTAGATGTAATCCTAAAAAATGTAGATAAATTTAAAGTTTTTAAAGTAAAGGGTATTCTAAAATAATATTAGAGAATGCATTATCGTATTGTTGTATTGTTATGCGGTTTATTTGGTCAGCGCTGCTTTTGAGTGAATTTAAGTAAACAAAAATCAATTTACGTTGTACAAAACATAATAATCAGGGGTGTTACAGAAAGAGATTGTTGTCGGAATCACACTTGAAACCTGCAAAATTCTTCTGAAGGGGTTACACATTTTGATTATTGATTTGCATATCGGTTTCATTTGCGAAACTGAATTTGTATCGATTTTAGGTGTTACAAAAACCGACTTATCGGTTTGAATGTCAGAATTAAATCGATTAGTTATTCGTTGACAGAATTGTGTGCAAAGTTCTTTGAAAGCGGAATTTTAATGAAAATGTAAGTCATGAACAAAGGATTTTAAAACCAGCAATGCCTGGAATACGGTGTACGATGTAGAAATGATCACGAGCTCTCCGTTTCTCTTTGCCGATCATTCTTAAAATTATTCAGTGTGGGCAATTCAAACGTTCAAAAGCTTTTAGAATTTCTGTCCACCGAGTCTCACAGACCGTTACTAGGTGGAATAGACAGCTTATCTAATTTGTCTTCAATGGCATCCAGAATTTCTGTATAGGCTTCTTTGTCAAAACGATATTAATCTATGAATCTACATACAAACAAATTTTGTATAAGCCAATAAAAAAGCAGAATGCAAATTGCATTTACATCGACTCTGGCAACTCCAGAAGATTTATCTTATCCCTTACAATTTTGCGCTTTATTAAGCAACAGGTGGTGGACAATACAGCCAACAAGACTTTGCTCGTGAAGGTGTTGTCCAGGGTATCTGTTGCAGAAAGAAATCTGAAAGTGAAGTTTATGATGATTCACAGATTAAGCCGGATATATGGAAAGCAGCGGCGTACACTCTACTTGCCTTGCGATGAAAAGAAGCAACCCACAACTTCCGCAACCAAGATCGAAGGCAAGTAAAAAAGCAAAAATATTTACTTGAAACAATCACACATCTCATAAAGTACAATATTTGTATCCAATATTTTGCAATCAAATTGAAACAGCTGACGCAGAAAAATCAAATAACATCTATTTTATCGATAAACTGTCGTCGTCATCGCAGTGCTTTCGGCAATATCGTTTCGTCGAAGAGACAGTGATGTCGACTAAATGGCGACAAGGACGTTAACGTCGCCAATCACAATAAGTTGGAATATATTTAAATTCATTGGTAGTGTAGTAATAATATCATATTCATTTTTGATTCTCGATTCGGAATTTTAACAATATGCATATAAAGATATAAGCGAACAAAATAACACTTGTTTTCTGAGCGGATTTTTTTTTCTCAAAAGAGTATTAATTTTCTTGAGTGACTAGAAAATTAATTATTATAAAAAAGGAAAAATAAAAAACAATAATTAATTCATGATCTTTAAAAAGTAGTCAAGCCTTTCCAATTCCGCAACACTTACCGCCACTAGCTATTTTAAAACTTACTTACTTACATATGTAGAAACATAACGAACTTTCCTCTTAAAACAAGTAAGGATTTCTAGTTTCATCAGATATTTTTTATTAAACTTTGGTTTTTATTCACATTTTCTTTGAATACTATATAAGTTATGTCGTTCTTTGCCCATATTTATATACATATATATATACACGTACATGTATATATACATATATATATGCACGTACATATATATATACATATTATATTTCAAGCGGCTTAATGCATAATATAAATTACTAATCTTGAGCCAATAGATTTTTAAGCAACACGTAATCACTTGTTCCAAAAGAAAAGAATTTCATTCATAGCATGACAAAACAGACAAAAAAACAAAAACAGAAATGGTACTCAATGGATTTTTCACCCCTCCTTTGGCTTCATCCTTGTGCTAGAATTGGCCCGAACTATTTACCGGGCACAAATTACCAACATATAAAGTAGCCATGTCTACTGTTCTGCGTTCACATCTAAAGGCAAAAAACATAAACGTGATTAAATGCAATTTACGGCCGCAAGCACTATCACTTCAACCAATGAAAACAGCCACCTTAAGGCAAACAACTGCGTGCTAAAGAAGCTTTCGGCAAAGTTTGACAGATCCTCGACACTTCGACACCTGTTCAGTCGGAAATCATGCAAAACACACTTAATGAATTGCTTTTAACATACATAGCCCAACCATATTTAAGTAATTTTCTTGAACTAAAATCCACATACACGTATAATGGATACGAGATGTATGTACATATGTATGTACGTACTTTTACAAAATTTACAAATCTTTCGCTCTATATCGATTGGTTGGACCATTAACCACGTATATTTCCATAGAGCAATATTTTTTCATCCCATACTAGTCGCTTTCCGAGTTTGAATTACCGAACTTGGTGATTACCTATGTAAAAACAGACATCCAACTGCCATACAAAGGAATCGAATTCACGATCTTTTGAGTCTTAAAGGGCAGTGTTTAAGCTTTAAGAATCCCACAAGTAACAACATTTCCCCGAAACACGTTCTTAGAGGAATTCAAATGAGTCACTATAAACGAGGAGATAATCTAATTCCTTTCACGAAAATATTCTATAACAACAGTATTTTGGACAATAGAATTGGATCCCCAGTTAGGATGTCAATAAAGGATTAAAATGTCATTGGTTAAACTCTTTTAAGCATTTTAAATTTTTTTCATAAATTTTTACAAAACTTTCGTCGAATGTTAAAACAAAACCAAATATTTCATTTATAAATCCAAAAATACACTTAATATAAGCAATCCAAATAATATTACCTGCAAAGCAGCCGTAGAACGTATAACCAAAGAAGGCCACACAAACACATAACCAGGCTTCCTAAATACCCACTTACAAGTTTATAATAATTTCAATGCTCGCTGGTGCTTATTACGAGTTAAAGTGATCATTATAAGAACTTAAGTCAGAAAAAATTGGACTTCAAGTTCAACATAATTATTAGGTCTACCGGAAAGTTCCGTCCGAATCTAGGACATCATTTTCGCCAACTAAGCACATGTTTAGTTACAGAAGCACGTAGAAATTTATTGAAAGTGTTTGGTGAATTTACATTTCTTTGTGGGACATGCAGAAAATGGTATGAGAAATTTTAAACAGGTGATTTCGACCTTTCTTTAGATCGAATCTTCTCTCCATGAGAATCCCAAATAGATGCGAGTGGGAAAACACCAGCGCCCCCGATCAGGGAGTAATAGCTACCTAAACAGACGGCTCAAAGCTTGATGGGAAGGTGGGTTGCAAAATTTATTCTCCGATGCTCTCATTAAGCATGAGCATGAGAATACCAGAGCACAGCGCGGAACTCTTTGCAATCATGAAGACCGGAGTGGTTGCACAAACATTCGGCAGCAGAACAATCGCTTACAACTTACTCCGACAGTCACATTTCTTCAATCACACCACATCAAAAGTGGTCATAAATTGTACAGTTCTACCGTTGTCTGGGTACCTGGACACAGGCACGTCCCAGACAATCGCATAGCAGACGAAATAGCAAGGGAAGGAACCCTTCTATCTACGATAAAACATGCCCACAATGCTGGTTTACGTCGGTCGACGGAAAATTGCTTAACCAGGGAAGCTGACTCAAGACGGTTGAATGACATCACGAACAACGTGACCAGACAGATATGGCCAAAACTGCGAAAAAATCAAAACTTCGTAATTTTCTAGACTGGTTCTTCATTAACATAACAACTGGCATAATAACAGGACACTGTTTAACGGGGCTTCATGACAAAATAATGGGCTATCACTCAAACAGTGTCTGCCGCAGCTGTAGGGAGCGTGACACAGGCTCCTTGGGAAACCTTTCTTCGTCTGTTTCGCTGAGTTGGCTTCAGCGAATATTGGAAATCTCGTTACCTTTTAAGGTGCATGAAATGGTTCGTTCATTTGTGAAGGTAAAAACAGGTGCCTAAGTGATATCACAATGGGCCTATTGGTGGCGACCAGCAACCGCATCAACTCAACTCAACTCAAACTCATTTAATAAATTAAAATTTTCTCATAACTTTTTAAACTACTTTCGGCGAATCTTAAAACAAAACAAAATGTTACATTTATAAATACAAAAATATACATAATCAGGGTTGTTGTGGAATCAGAATTGACAGATCTATTCGGAAATATCGAATTTATTTCTAAATCGTTCGGTTTACATGAAATTTGGTACAGTGGTAACTTTTTGCCTAGATTACCTTTGGAAACCCTTTTTTTCTCGGGAAGTTGGCCTTGATCTTTTCGAAAAAAATATATCTATGCTTCGGTATTGTTTAAAATGTGGAACGTATGTAGATGACTCTTTGCGAGGTTAATATGCGAGGTTTTTAGAAATGAACGTGGGACCGATTTGTTCGAAGTCCCGAGCGAACTCAAGAGAGACGCTCTCGTGCTGTCGAATTAGTAGCAATGTTTTATAACAGCTCACTCTGGCGATGAAAAATACTTTGGTTTTTCTAGATGTGAAGCTTTAATACTTTACTCATAGCAATTATTAGCCGAACCAGCCAAAACATAGCGACTCAGTTAGATTAACCCACCTTGTGAGAGCGCCCTGTAAATGAAAAGCTGCCGTCGCTTTTCCAGCGCCGATTTGATGTTTTCCCGAGATCTGTTGATCTTGCTACTGTACAGACGCGTCCACGGCAATGCCTTTTAGAGCAAGAGCAGCTATTTAAATGATATTTAAGTGATTTATTATAATTTTCTAAATTCAAACAAATATACGTGAGTACACAGCATACTTATCTTATTTCTAAATATTTATTGGTTCAGAAAAGTCAACATTGAAAGCAAAAGGTATCAAAATCTTAATAACTTTCTATAGAAAGTGGGTGTTACACATATATATTTCGGAAACGGTTTTTTTAGCTAACATTGTGTTATTGTTATTGACAAACGGTTTTCAAGCAATCCGTTAAACTCTGTTTCAATGTGCTTAAATCAAGATGGGAAAGCGTTCGAAATTAGAAAAAAAACTTGCATTCCACGCACATCTAGAATTTATTATTAACTTATTTTTTTGTAGTTACTTTCCAAAGGCATTTGCATATATGTATGTATGAGTATATAGGTATATAACGCTAATTATAATGCATGAGTTATTTATGATTTGATGATGGTAATATCCTTTGATGGTGGTTAACAATTGTATTCTATATGCCATCTGGCGTTGTTATGTGGATATCTAGCAAAACCTGGCTTCTAGCCTTTCTATGAACAACAAATATTTAAAATCTGCTCTTAGGTTTGACTGTAATTTTGGCTAAAAGTCCACCATTGACGCCATCAATTTGAACACGCGGAATTTTCAAATATGTGTAAATGTATTTCTGTACGGAGTTTAGTACAATAATTGCTCGACGTTACTTTGTAAATGAAAAAAGAATCGATAAATGTAATTGCGTTGTTTTCGTTTTGAGTAATTTTGGGCAATGCTACGAATTGAATCGGTTAAAAGTAGAAAAAATCAGTCTCTATTTAGCTTACAATATATATGTGAAAGTCAGATCGTAAGTACATTTTGGAAAGAAATATAACTACGTTTGCATTCATGAATGCAGCTCATATATGCAAGTGGAGCTCTTCTGAATTCGTTAAGTTTGCGATGAAAATTCCTTTCCATAAATGCCAAACATCAATTCGAAATAATAAGAGTGATTAATAAATTTGTGTTTTTTCAATATCTTTACTATTTCTAAGAATTACTTTTTTTTTTGTAAACCTTTATAATCAGTGCGAACTTGTAGTGCTTTAAAATGCTATTCTAATATGTATGTAACTACAGTATTTATTTTCAAATTTTCCTTGCGATTTCACACTGCACACTTAATACATAACCATTTAAATACATAAATATGTCATGAATAGTGTGTGTTTTTGCATATGCTTCGGGTTCGCTGCAGCGGTGTTAAGGCCAAACATATTATATATGTATATACATTCACTATATACGAGTATATTCGTTCTCTTCAATATTTAACTAATTATGTTAACATTCTAGTATACATACTGTATATATATAATATACATATGTATGTAAGTATATATAGTACGAATTTATGAATACACAAAGTATATATTTTATATTTCATTACTCGATAAATGCTTATAATCCGACTATAAATTCTAGACGAGAAATGTGTTAAAAGTGCAAGGCTCTGACTAAGAGAGCTATCAAAATGCTTCACCGCATTCCCTTTCCAAAACCTCCAGTTTAAAGAATGTTGCATGCGGAACCGTGCATCACTTCACTGATAAACATTGGGGTGCCCGCTCCCAGTCCACCATCCGTTTTCTGATGCTCATTCTGTTTAGTAGAGGAAAATATGACAAAGAGACAATAAAGTATGCTCACTCACGCTATGTAAAATTGTATATGTATATGTTTATAAATTAAGCCCAAAAAAATATGTATGTATATACACTTACATCGTCATATTCACAATCGAAATAATGACCCTGGCATTCCATACAACGGCATGCATCCGACATCTTGCACGTTATGCCCCATTGCTTGGCTAAATCTTTGTATATTTCCTTAGACGACTTGTTGCTTATTATTTCCGGTGTGACAGATCGTTCCTGTGCCGATTGTTGGTTACTGTATTCGTACGCTTGCGATTGTTGTTGTTGTTGATGATGTTGACTGTTCGAAGCTTGTTGATGTGCGTTCCACCCGTTATCACTATCACTGTCACACCGACCGCCCTGGCAACCATCTTGCAGTTGATTTTCACTGTTCTCGTGGTTATAATGAGACTCTGTAAGCAAAGAAATCAAATCAGAGACTTGGCTTGTTTTATAAGACATAATGCGATAGGTTCTAAGTACTTTCGGTAGGAAAGAATTGTAGATGAGGTACAAAATACGTTACATAAAGCCAAGACTCAAGGTTCTTTTTACATAATTTCTTCCCTGTTTTATTCGTAAAATTTTGGGCTTTAAGCTCAATTTGTGAATCGTTTGCGTCTTGTTGTTTTTCCCACAAACGAGTGGACCTACATGTTATTCTAAGCCACCACCTAACTGCTGATGGTTTTTTATGAGGAGCTTTTATTTCGCGTCAGAAACACACTCGGAGAGCATGAAATTTCCTGCCGAGTGGCGAACGCAATAAGAAAAACGAAGTTTCTATTGTATAATTTGGGATGTCCGTCGAACTAGGACTCGCACCATGGTCTTCAGAATAACAGTACGCTATTGCGAAAATGTTTTTGAAATAACAAACAGTAAGCTTTTTCTTACATATCAAATAAAGTTTTCCACAACTCAATTGCTTATATGTTTGGTTGTTGTAATGCGAACTTATCACTCTACAATCGGTAGGGTTCTTCATATAAATTGATAAAGCGATGAACGCCGTACGAGTATTTCTTATATTTATCGGTTAAAAATATTTTTTCAATACAAAATTTAAATTTACTGATCAGATGATAATTGTATCAGTTATTCACTTTTTACTGAATCTGCTTATATCAACTCAAGCCTAAACGTAGGTATACAAATCTTGCTGGAGTTGACTCATGACTATTGACTCTTATTAGTAGATGTAATGAATAAATGGATGAATTGCACAAAGCGTTAGCGCTGAAGTGGGATGAGGGCTCTGCTCCTTTTAGCTTCAGGCTCCACCCGTAGTTCTTTATATATATTTAAGTTACCAACGTACCACTGGAACCTCTGTATTTTCTTAATATTATTATTATTAGCAAAGCTCTCACCCCAAAGTTAAATACCATACCAATTGGGATGGGTTTTAAAATAGCATAGTGAATAAGTGCTTTGTAATCTTTTTTTTTTTTAGCCCATCTCTGATGTAGTAGCCAAGCAGATGTATTGTACTATATTGATCATTTGTCGCAATTTCCTAGATCTTTCTGATATGTGATTTTGAGTCATAAATACTCCTATAAAAACTATCAAACAACATGAAACTTTGGTACTCAAAATCATGGAAATTGAACAGCTATATCCCATAGCCCCATACAATCGATTATTCGAATATGAGAACTCTTATTTAATCTTAAAATGCAGTTCAATAAATTTGATAAGCTTATTGTGGATATAAGTACTTCGACATAGTCGAAGATAGCACTTTTTCTTTTTCCTATCTGTGTTTACTCTTTAAAAACGCTCTCATACTGGAAAATGTTTCATGTTTCCTTAGCATTGCCTTTAACCGTTTTAACTTGACTACACTTTTTTTTAAGGATAAACACATACATACATATAATATATCATCCGCTCTTGTCACAAACCGTATCGAATCACTGTTATATGGTTGCTAAGTAAGAAAATACCTCTATAAGGGTTAAGATCAATTTAAGGGATTATATTCCTCTTACGTTTTAAATAAACTTACCTTCGTCACAGTATCCGCCATGATTAATTAGTGGATCAAAAAAGTTATTCCCATTTCCACCATTATTATTTACACCATTGGTGTTCGTGTTACATTCATCGGTGCACTCGTCGTTGTAATGACCAGATTCACATTCGGCACAGTCACCACTGCAGTTCTCCATTAGATTTGGGCTTTCGTTTGCGGCTGAAGCTTGCGCCGTTGAGGCAGCCATTTTCGTTGATATCAAAAGTTCTGTAGAATCAATTGACTCTTTGCGATTGTCGTCTAGGAAATCGTCCTCGTCTTCAAAGTTGTTGACCTCGTTGCTTAAATGATTTTGATTTGGATTCACTGATTGGGACGCGTCTTGCTGTCGTTGTGGTAATATTTGCCTGTTGCACTTATATATTTCCTGACAATTTGGGTCGGTGCATTCAATAGTGATCTCTTCACTCAGAGATAGATGCTCCAACGATGTTAGGATGATGCTGTTACGCGGATTATTTAAGGAATCACGACGATCATTGATGGAACTGGCATCACGGGTGATAGCGTTCAGCTGTTAAGCAAGAAAAAAAAGAATTCTTAAATCGTCGCTTTTTAGTACAATATAGTATGTATATTTAGCATGTATCTTTACAAATATCTTTTTCAATCTGAGGTTCGCCTTTTGATCTTTTGCCTGAAAACGGAGGGACCTAGAGTGGCAAGGTTCTCGTTATAAACTAAGCTAAGAATCCCACATGTTAAATATAAAGCCTATTCTTATTTAATTGGACTTTAACCACTATTAATTTTGTTTGGCATGAAATGTTTCCCTGAGTTCGAGTCAGGTTAGGCGGTTTCCTTTCATACTTTTCCCTAAAATTTTACTCATAACCAATTGCAAAGGAAAAAACACTCCAACTGTATCACCTACCCCTTCTAGCATATGATCGTAAGTTGATGGAGGAGTCGTGGGAATCGTGTTCGATTCTGCTGAAGACTCGTCATTACAAGTTGTAGCCCTGTGATCGATATATCCTGCAAATACAAATAAATCTAAGTAGGTAAGACAATTCGAATTCGGCAATTTCGTTTTGATATTCTTATTCTGAAGTGTACTTAGTAGTGCAGACATAGGAACATAAAACATGCATGTGTAAATGGGACAGATACATACAAACATATCACAAATTTTTAGTCGTTTTATAGAAGGATAAATACAAAACTGTTTCTAAAAAATAACATTTAATAAAGCGAGATATTTTTCCTGTTGGCTATTGATTGTAGTGATGTTAACTGATTTTTTGGACTACTTGATCATAAACAAAATTTGTTTTGCAGAATTTCCAATAATAAAGTTACAAGAGAGCATACTCAGCTGATATTTCTATTAAATCCATCGATCGGTAGAAGCCTATTGTATGAAAGGTAGGTCTTTTTCGGACTGAAGCCAGGCATTTTAGGTTCGACTTTAGTGCCGTTCAAAAGATGCATGCACACATAGTTTGAGTGAGTTCCTTTGATTGCTGCCCTAATTTTCGCTATTGAATCGAAAGGGGTTGGAAAATAAAAGAGGAAAAGGCGTATTTTTGCCTCTTTTGCGCTTATAATTTCCATTTAATGCAATCGTCTGTAAAAAATTGGGCTTTAACTGCAAATTTAGTGATGGAATCGTCGAAGGTTTCATACTTTTCAAAAGTATTTGAATTAGATCTGAAGTGCGCGTTAACTTGGTCCGATTACACCCATTTGCAATAGCGCTCGTACTTGTGAGCCATGGAATGTGAGAACCATCAAAATACCTCAACCGGGTGGACAGACAGACATGGCTGAATCGTAATTACATGACTGATATATGTATGTCTGTCCAAATCCATTTCGACCATTTTATACTCTTTGATGGAAAAAACATAATATCCTCTATGCACGAACACACATATACATATGTATATGACAGCCAAGTATACAAATTACTCTTTGAAGTATATATAAGTTATATTAGTAATAGAAAACAATGAAAATAATTTTTTAATTTTTTTTTTTTTAATATTGATTTGATAGCAACAAAATTCAATTAAATAATATGGCGAGCCTAGGATTGCTAATCGAATTTCCTTTTTCTGTTCTGACTATTTTTTAGGTTCGTCCTTTCGTTTTCATAGAATTTAGTGGGCAATATTTGGCAATCCTGACAAGGCATAAGAGGCTCTTTGTCTAGTTATTGTTCATGGGAAGAAGCTTTCTCCAAAAAAAAAAAACTTGTGTTGTGAAATTCGACTAAAGGAAAAGCTACATATTACATTTGGAAATATTTTTATTTGATAGTATTCAATTAGGCAAACTACCTTTGTGCATACGTACGTAATTGTGGGTTGAAGCTTTCTGACGTTTGGTCAACCACCGCAGTGGTTACGGTTCGTCAGGTGCAATTGTTAAATTTTCAATTTACGCAGTTCCCTACAAGGAATATGTGGTTGGTACACTTTCAAACGTATTTGTATTTGTGTGTTAAATTATAAAAGTAACTACATTCATAAATTCTAATTACAATTACAATAAATCTGTGTAGAGTGTGTGTGGGGCATTAAGGAGTGAAGAAGTAAAATAATGATCGTCACACGAAAGAACGTAGAAAATACAAACAGAGAAAAATCCTTACCTAATCGCAAATTGTTGCTTTTGTTGGGTAGCAGTGATTTACGTTCGTTGGTGCCAATGGAGCCGAGACTGGTACAATCGGTGGAATCAATGGTGGAACTACTGGCACCAATTGTTGTTGAGTGATGTTGATGATGATTGAGTAGCGCCTCATTAACCTGGGGATCTTGATCGTGCTCTTGAGAAGCACTACGCGAGCTGCCCATGCGGAATTTCAATTTAAAAGGTGCCATCCTACCAAATAACTTTTTATATTGCACAATTTAAGAATGTTGCCCTCAGAGAGACTGGTATATCAATGTTTTTTTTTTGTTCCCAATTTAGCATTATTTTGGTCGCACTTTTTATTCTTATTAACACCTTAGGGTACTCAAGCACACAAGGCGCCTTTAGGTAATCCAGTAATTCAAAAGGAGAAATATTCACATTACAAAAATAAATAAAAAAAAAAACATATATTAGTGAAAGAAGTAGGGAAAGCTATAGAGTACATGGATGTAACGTAAATATTTGTGAGTGTGGTGGTCTATTAAAGGGTCGAAGGGGTTATGCAGTATACGCTTACGGTACATTGACAAATACACAAAGAACCAAAATATTTGTTAAAAATTCTGTGATTTTACTACGGCATGCAAGTTTTCTCATAATTTACTCTGTATCTTGTGCGTATGATTTGTATAAGAAATATATATTTTACCTTGAAATCGAAGCACAAGGACTGATTGAATTACAGGTTACGCTGTTAACTGAAAGAGAAGAAAAAGTATTGTAATAACAATGATCGCGTGTCTTAAATTATTATATATGACTTTAATGATTGAACCTTGAGCTATTTTTAGTCAAAACCTGAATGGCATTAGTAAATAATAAGGATAAATTTAGTTGAAAATAGAATGATGAGGTTTGCTTACTGGACGCCTGAATCTGGGTTGGTTAGAGGTTCTGAAAGGCTCAATATATCTCATTGGCGCTTACAAAAGCTGGATTTGCGTAAACGGACCTAATGTTTGGGTTCCTCACGAATTCCCTTTGCGGAATCATACCCAAAAAGACTTATCACAAAAAAAAAAAAAAAAAAAAAAATACACAACCATAGCGGGCGATAAAATTGAGCTTCCCCAACCGATATCTAAGCCCTAGACGTATGTTCACCGAAAGAAGATTATATTTTGTGTGAGCTAGAACTTCAAGGACATATTCGTATTGTCCTTTAAGCTATTGAAATATAATGACGGCATTAACAAAAAAGCTAAAAACTAACCCATTTAATCTATTATATACGACATTATGCAGATAAGCAAAGGAATACATGCATACTTATGTTTCAATTTACATGCGCTGAGAATATTGCAGCACGCACGTACATACATACACGTATGTATGTATATATCCTAAACATGCTGTTGTCAGCAGCACTCGCTCTCAAGAATATTTAAGTATGGGAGAACGTTTTGGGCTCCGTAATTTAAAATCTAACATTAAAATTCATTACGTCGTGACTCAGTGACAATATTGATTGTATTTCCATTTATTTTCAGAGGAGGAAAAAAAATGGTGTTGTAATTATTTACATTATAATTATGGTATTATTGCTAAGGTTTTTAATTAAATTTTGTTTCACGTTATAATACAGCATATCTATCAGGGATTCTACTTTACGAAAACTAAGCTTCTCTATAATCAATTGGCCGCGGAAGACGCAGCTTTGCTCAAGTCTACTTCTGCTACCTCATGAGTTTAACCTTAAGCATTGTTAAGAAGGAGTATCTGCGCTCTCTTGATGGTATTAGAGGAATACTAGTGATAAATAACAAGCCGCAATGCAAAGTTTTCCGAAATACGAAATTTTTTTCAAAATTAGATCAGAAGTTTCCGAGTTGAATACGGATGGCTGAAGAGTGAAGGAGATGCATTTTCAGATAGCAAAAACTGGTCGCCAGGCGTCCGGTTAAGTTGTGCCTAAGTTAGCGCCAACATTGAATGACGATTAGCTCTTAACCACAAGATAATTAAAAAGCTGCTGTTGGTAAAGTAATAATTTTATCCATTCCGGTGTTAACATTAAGGTAAACTTAATTATGACAAATATGGAACGTCAGAAGTACCGGTGTCGGTAGTAAACCGAATGCAGAATAAACTGCAAAAACTACCTATCACGAGGTTATCACAGCAATGATTGTACGAGCAGGCTTGCACGTGCACATTGCCAGTTACGGTATCATTCCTTGTTGCACCTAAATGCAAAACCAAATGCTGAAACCGCCAGCAGCAGTTCTCATAACTATACTGAGCAACACCCAACTGCCAAGTCAACTTCTCCAGTTCCACAAGCGCATATTAGTTCCAATCCATCGAGTAACCGTGCTGCTCTAAGCAAGCACACATTCAATTACTACATGCGGGACAGGATTGCAGAACTCTCCTTCCAACTGCCATTGTCGCAGTGACACACCAAGAAGAATGGTTTCATCTCAGAGCCTTAAATGACCAAGGCTCACAATGAACTTCCATTCCTCGAACATTTCACATTCGAAAATTCCGGAATGGGTGGACACATCGTTCAAAACACATCCAAAATTTGTTCCTTGACTCTGGTATCATCCAAAACTAAGCAACGGATCAATGCCCAAGCTATCGTGCTACAAAAGCTAACGAGGCTTTTGCCAACCTTTACCTTAAGCCGTAATATTTGGCAACAGTTCAAAATCAATGCTGACCCGAATTGCCATATACCAGCTCAAACCGACATGGTAATAGGCAGTGAAATGCTTCCACAAATTCTCGTTGGTTGGATCCTTAGCGGACCAGTAACCGAAAAAGTGGGGTCCTTCTCGACACAAGTAGAAGAAATCTCAACTGATACACTTGGTGATCAATTGAGAAAATTCTGGGAAGGGGAAGAAATGCCCCCAACTCCACATATTTCAAATGAGGTTCAGGCTTGCGAAAACATATACAAGCAAACCACGACTCGTGCTCCAAACAGTCAAAATCGACCTTTCATTGAAGGAAGAATATTTCAAAGATCGTCAGAAGAGATACAAGTGGAAGAATCCACAGTGAGATCCTCAGCCAGGCGGCTTGGTAGTAGTCGAAGAAGACCCACTATCACCGTGGACCGGATGACTACATTCGAGTTTTGATGTACGTATCCAAAACGGGGCTATCACGCGCCCACTTGTCAAGTTGTCCCTTTATCCTAGTTCACAGGAAAGCAACAAATAAAATAAAAAACTTCCATTTGTTTCAGAGCAAAACTATCCAAAAAATATCCATCCCGTTTCCCCTAATACTGTCCGCACTATTTTTTTTTATCTTTTTGTACCCTTGGCCGTACCCTTGGCCCCTACGGCAGAAACAGAAAACAGCCTCCAATGTAGACTCTGCCATAAGTACCACCCTTTGCGCATGTGTGGCGCATTCCGGACGATTAAGCCGTCACAACGACTGGTAGTGGCCTGGGCGCAAAGCTGTTGTATCCATTGTCAAGCGTTGACGCATACCCCGGGCGAGTGTGATTTACCAAGCAGCTGCAAACGCTGTCAAAAAGCGCATCACACCGGGTAGTGGGAAGAAGAGAAGCAGCAACAACTACACGCACACAACCAGCGCGCAACGATCGTTTATCACCGCCTAAACGAAAACCACGTGCGTCCCCCACCACGAAAAGGCGCAGCTACCCCAAACGACGCAAAGCAGCACCGAGGTCCATTTCATAGCCAGCAGGGCGACCGCAATAAAAGAAAGCGCGCACCACTTCTCCAAGAGACTTGTATAACCGGTTCAAGTAAAACGAATTTAGGAACTGTTTTTTTATTGGGCGACGGTGGTTATGGAGTTGTCTACTTTTACATCCCAATCTTCTCGTTGAACGTCTGCAAGGAAATTCTGTGGTAAGATCTAGTTTAATTAGAGGTTAATTAGAAAGAATATTTTTTTTTATAAAAATCAAATTTATTCTCATTTATTATCTAAAGAAGAAAATTAAAAATAAAACTAAACAAGAAAAGGAAAACGGAAGAATCACTTAACCAAATTGTATAGAGCAATGTAAAGGAATAAAAGTGTCATTTAGTTTTGATGTGCTGAAAAAATTAACCAGAAGTTAGGTAACCAGAACTTGGTGAAAATAACGGTATTATATCAGCCTGGTGGTTATCTTTCCTCCGGATAAATGTTAAGTGGATGGTACATTGTGAAAGCGGGCGTCGGAGATGGAGAGATGGGGTGACACTATCTTCAACTTACTGGTGGAAAAAATAATATGAAAGAATTCAGCGTATTGTGTGAAATACTAAAGCCCATCGTCAAAAAACTGCTTGAACCTTATAAATAAGGAACTTCTTCAACGCCGTGGTTTCTGAATTTGCTATCCCCGCCAAACGGCTGTGTAAACTAATAGGCATCAATTGGGAGGGACCTCTCCCAGCTGTACCAAAAGAAATTTGGAGCTGAATATAGAAAGTACAATCTTCTAATCATAGGCCTTAACAACCACGCTGTTAGTTCTGCTTTCTCCAGAATTGATAACGAAGCTATTCGAATGGGTCTGGTAGTTAACGAAGGCAAGGCGAAATATTTCCTGTCATCAAACAAACAGTTATCGCATTCGCCACTCGGCTCCCACGTCACTGTTGACAGTCTTAACTTTGAAGTCGTAGATAATTTCGTCTATCTAGGAACCAGCATTATCACCAATAATAACGTCAGCCTTGAAATCCAGCGATGAATCACTCTTGCCAACAGGTGCTACTTTGGACTGAGTAGGCAAAAGAAAAGTAAAGTCCTCTATCGAGATCAAATGCCAAACTCTACAGCTCATCTTTCCCGAAGCATTGCACGATGACAATATCTGATGAGTCGGCGTTGGGAGTTTTCGGGTGCAAAGATTTATGATCCTTTGCGCAATGGCAACGGCGAATACCGCAGCCGATGGATGGATGGTGAAGAACGACATGGTTCACCTGGTTCATCTGGTATTCTCAAGTGGCGCCCAACAGCGAAAAGAATGAATGAATGATGCGCTGTTGTTGATTCATCAGTATGTGTCTTTCCAATTACAATTTCCAGACAGAAACCCAGTAAAGTAGCACTAATCCTTGCGTTCAGTACTAAAGTCATTATTTCAGCAGGAGATGACTTTAATTATTGAATAATGCAATCCACTTGCTTGTATTTATATGTATATAATAGAATGTCATCCATTAAAAGTTGCCAATTTTATGCCATTTAGACCATTTCGTTCTTTTCTATTAATATGGAGTGCAACAATAAAGAAATAAAGTTAGATACTCATATTTATTCACATAAATAAGGTAAATCGATTCGTGGCGGAAACGAAGTTTTATTGATAGAATTCAAGGTAAACAAATAATAAAACATACATGCATATATCATATATATGTACATATAATCACATATACTTTTTTAAGTAAATACCACACCTTTGGCTCATGAGTATGACATGTTGCACATACACGTATATCGCCACTTTTTGAATTCCTTTTATTCTATTCAGAACCAGTGAGAAAGTTTCCGAAATGCACAAAAGTTATCCAACACCCACCATTCAAATAGATATTAACACATTTACAATTGCATGTGTACATACTAAAATAGTTCACATACATCCATATACAGTTATTTACGTACGTTTATTATGCATTGTATATGAATATAAAAGCGTTCGCACTTTGCTTTCCACTTTTCTTTGTATTAATTGAACTATAAAAATTCTCGTTCTTTTCTTTTTCGTGCAGTGTTAATTTAGTTCAGAAATTTGCAATTCACTTACACGAATGTACACGCTAGAATTTTACTCACCATAAACCTTATTGTATATCCCTTAGCGAATTCCGTATCATTTTCGATGAAGGCAGTTATGGTATGCCAAGCAAAAGTGAGTCATAATAGGGATATATGTAAAAAAAAGCTCAAATTTTAGACTATTTCAGAATGATTACGGTATATATTACGCTTTTATTTTGTTAACAAGCGCAAATACGTTTGGTATTACATTTCATTATTTATGTAAGCTTGAATAAGGAAATTTTCCATTTCCACTTGAAACCAAAGTTTTTTAACACGTCGGTTAATACGCTCGTCAGACGACTCACTCAATTGAATGCGTTGCTAAGGACTATTTCGCTATTATGTTGAGCCTTACGTTTATTTTTCTTTGCCAATGAGCTTAAAAAGCTCTTCTTGTTGTGATTATCCTGTGTTCCTTGCGTACTGCTCTTGTGTTTTTCTGATTTTGTTTTGTTATTTGCTTCTTGCTGCTTCAATGAGCTTTCATTGGAGTTGCCACTTTTTGTGCCGGGTGGATGGTTTGGTGTCAGCCCTGCATATGTAATTTGGATGATTTATCGAAAAGATAACAAATGTTATGCATCAATATATAAATACTGCTAGAAGGTTATTTCAGTAGATCTTATTTGATTTCTTGTATCTTTTGGTTGTATTTCAGCTTTCATGATCGTTGGGTTTACCAGTTGGGATTTTGCTCTTTTGCCAGAGGGTGGAAACGAAATTTTTTCTCTTACGAGTGGTTGTTACCGTCATATCACTTTCCAATAACATTCCCTTAAATCAAATTCGATAGTAGATTAGCAAACGGAAATAGGCAAGGCAAAAATTTAAAAAATAAGTACCCGCATCATTAGCAAATCATTCATGAACACTAAAAGTTAATTTTTCTGTCGTGAATATATTTTTATATATTGTATATAAAAGAGCAGGAGGGCGGCCGCGGTAGCCGAGTAGTTAGCATTGCGTATTGACATTCGGAAGGCCCGGGTTCATATCCCCTTGCCAGCAACATCCAAAAGTTATGGAAAATTAATTTAAATAAAAAATTAACTTAATATTTTCTAATTGCGGTCGCCCCTCGGCAAGGAATGTCTACCCCTCCGCGTGTAAAAAACCAGTAGCCGTTCGGAGGCGGCTTAGTATAAACTGTAGGGCCCTCCATTAGTTGCGAAAGCATCAAAATGCAAAACCACAAATTGGAGGAGGAGCCTGGGCAAAAATTCGCTTCAGCGGTTGCAAAACGCATCATTGAGGCGATATTTTCCTCTTCCAATTTTTGTAGTACATCATTCCCAATAATTGGGGTGGCAACAGTTTCAATCTGCTTCCGAACGGCCGATGAATTTTAATGGGTTTTTCATTAAATGTCATCAATACATTCGGAGAGTTAACATTCCACATTGTGCGCTGACCGTTTTGGCAGAATTCTAACCCACGTCGTACCGTATGGTAGCATTCATATATACTACCTCACCTACAAAGCCCCCCGAAAAGTTAGAAATGGTAAAGTTTATTGATAACTGCAGTGAAAGACATTATGGCATATTGTTATCGGAATCCGGCCTATGACGAACGAGAAAGTCATCTTAGTAAATGTGTGCTACTGGATTTGGTGAAGAATTATCTTGATTCCGGTTGAACAGTGAAATGCGATAACATTTTCACACCACTCGATGAGATTAAGAGAAAAACACGATAAACTCCTCACATTTGCAATATTGTAATGCGTATAAGCCACAACCCACACTAGCAAGGTCTGTTTAATCCCAGCACCATCAATTCCATAAACAGTTTTTACATTTGATTTTTATACATGGTAATCATGGTATTCACAGTTACTAAAACAAGAATAAAAATCTGTTTTTGGGCACAAATCAATTTATTTTTTAATCAACACTTCACTAAAAATATTCATAACCAAATTTCAAGTATCCTTTAGCCTAAGCTTGTCTTCTATTAGGTGGTCTGCGCATTTCAAATAATGAACGGTTAAAAATTTTTCCCACAACGGGCGTATATAGAGGTTTTTAGGTTTTGTAATCTTTCTATAGACATTCATTAGCGCTACATTGCTATTAAATTCCGATGTAGTTGGTAAATTCATGTTCATTAATATTTGCATCTATTTCAATTGAACATACCTACTTATATGCAAATATACATACATATTTCTTTTGAAGTTTGACTTTGAAATTAAAATGGGCTTTTAAAAGCTACAAAATTAAAATTAAGCTTCTGTTTTTCCTCAAAAGCCCTCAAATATCCCGTCGAATTCACCAACCAAATTCGAAAGCTTTTGATTTTCGAAAAGCTACAAAATAAAACCATCCTTCGATAGCACGAAACAAAGCTGTTTTATGTTAATTTAGTAGTTTTTAAGGGAGAGATTTATTCTGCACATATATGACATAAGATAAATGACAAAAGATGAAAAGGATAATAATAATATATAATAACATAGTTCATCGATCCAGCATGGACCGGAAATTGAGCGATTTCATTCTGATGAATCGCAAATCGTTCGAATTGATTTGAGGTGTTATGAAATTCACTCGATTTTATTCAGGTTCGAACATAAATTCGAAACAGCTGATAGCCAAAACACTGGCCTTGAATAGCATTTTTATTTCTGCATAGCGAATATACCAAAATAACTGAAAAAACATGAGAAAGTTGCCCGATGAATTTTAGATCACTCCAATCCCCTTAGATACTTAGAGACAGCATTAGTGCTTATACGTAAAGCGCTGCGGCCAACGTCAACGTACGACATCTGATTATCTAAAGATTTATTTCGATTAACAGGATAATTAAGAAACATTTGAAAATATTATTAACGACATAAGACCCCTAATAAAGCCAATGACTATAGCTTTTGGGCTGAAGCTAGAAGACACGTTGAAAAAATCAGCCGCTTTTATTCTAATGCAGAAATTGAAATTTATTTAATGCGAAGATCATAATGTAATAACCAAATCATTTCATAAATATTATACATTTTTCTTCTCTGTTTGTGTTTTATGCCCCTAAAATAAAGCGTTGACTTTATATACAATATTATATATTAGTAAAACAAAATCTGTATACTTACATTGTTCTAAATTTTGAGTTTTCGACACACACACACATTTCCAATTTCCGCCCCTGCAGCCGACAGATTTCAAAACGGTAAAAATATGGCGATTTCGATTTCTGGCACTATGATATATTTCGATTTGGTGTTCGAAAACGGATAGTGAACAGTGGTATATATATGTATACGAGTATGTAGATATGAAAACTCAAAAGCCGATCTTTCCGTTCGAATAATGAATGAAACTTTTTTTTATCACAATTAAAGAAATAATATTTATTTTTTTAAAACAGTTCATTCGTCTCAAAAAGATTTGTACATAAAAACAGAAAGTTTAATACAATATTTCGTTGAGAAAACCACTTAATTAGTGTTCACTTTTGTACTTCATATATTATTCGGTAGAAACTGTACAAAAATCACGCATTATTATTTGGTAAAGCCTTCCTTGTTCTTCAGCAGCTCGTTAATACGATTGTGACATGGATTCAACGAAATTTTTGCAAATGTTGATTGATATATCAGCCCAAATTTTATACACTCTATACCAAAACCCCACAATGCTGCTTTTTGGTGTTTCATAATTTCCTTGTCTTTTCACGATAGACCATAACTTCTTTATCGGATTGAGGTCTGGGCTTTGGACTAGCCAAGTTATCGTATCGAATGCTTGACTTTCGAGCCATTCCTTTACCAATTTAGAACAGTGTTTCGGGTCATTGTCATGTGGAAACACAATATTCTCTTCAGCAAAGTCCATCTCTCATTCAAATATTCTTTATTCATTATTTCTTCGATTAAAATAAGTTAACCAACTCCAAACTGACCCGCGTTTTACTGTCTCAATCTTGGTATTGCTGAGATGTTCTACCATTGTTAGGCCCAATGCATTGTACACCATCTGAATTAAACCGATTGATTTCACATTCGTCTGACCACAACATTCGTATCTAGTCAGTAACGGTTCAATGTTGGTGACTTAATGCAATCGTAATTCGTGAGCTTATATTTTTTTCACTGTAAGGTTTAGCTTTTTTGGTTTCTTAGCGAGAATGCATACAACCTTTCTGAGAGCGCGTCGCAACGTCCATACACTGGCTTCACTGTTAATGCACTGAGGAGCTTACTTTCCATACATAACTAGTAGTGCCACGTGCCTTGCATCAATGGAGGTTGGGACATTTAGCCTCATTTAACATTTCAGTAATTTGGTAAGGAAATAATTTTTTTTAATGTTCCACCACTAATTTTTTGCGAAATCTTTAATTCTTTTCTTTACATGTAGATTTGTCCATTTGAAGCAATTTCTCAGCTTCCTCAAGGATTTTCGTATTACACTTTCTAATAATCAATCAATTACCTGAAATGCGCAAAACGACCGCTTCAATCCGTTACAAATGTGTACAAGTTATTCTCAACATTAGTTGCTTACAAAAATACAAACAACGGTATTTTTGGAAAGCCTTATTTATTGAAATATTAAAATTCGAACTAGTGAAAAATGATTTTAAATTATTTGTCAAAGACAGGGACCGTAATAGTTATGATGAAATGGGCAAAAAGATAAATTAATAATTATTTTCCAATAAATATTTTTCCTCACAAATGATCGTTATGTTTTGATTTTATTTCAGCATTTACAAGCTAGTAATAGTTACGCGAAGTTCCTTTACCAATAAGAGTTAAGAGCTTTTTGTTTGACCTCGACAAAAATACTCTCGCAATAACTTATATCTTCTCATCAAAGCATAACAGATATGTGATGAGTATTACTTCAGATCACAAAGTAAAAAATAAAATGTGAGTAAAATTTTTATGCTCATAGTTAATGGTTATAAGATGATTTTAAGTTATCGCTCCCTAACAGTATGGATTAGGAAAACAATAACCGCACTTTGCGGTATTTTAGAAAAATACTGTGAATGTAAACACCTTCCTATAGTGTTGAATTTTGCTCTTTAGTATATATATAAAGGGTTATTAATGACTGTCGTAGGGATAGGATTTGCCGGGAAGTGGACCTGACACAGATCTTGTCTAAAAAATTGAATTAAATAACTCTTTATGTAACATAACATGGGGAATACTTTTCCTTCCGGGAAGTGAGACCGATATACATATTTTTATAATATTTGCTTGAAATTTGCATGTTTGAAATAATCAATCTAATGAAAACCCGTAAACAAAATCTCGCTTAACTACAAAATGACAAAAATAATTGTGTAATACTCCATTTAAACGACATTAATATTTTGTGTATTTTAATTTGAGAGAAGTATAATGATAAGGTGTTTGTTGACTGGATGCACTAATGGATATAAGAAACAGTTGCAAATGCATATATAAAGACAAACAGAGCCAAGGTTCAAAATAGTTTAATGACGCCATCAAAAAAGTTGCTATTGGCATAATCAATTATCTACGATGCTTGCAATTCTCCAATATCAGTACTATGAATAACAATTAGACAAGAGTTCCATACACGGAACTAAAGTGAAGAAATATGCAATAGTAAACTCATCGGCCGTTTGGAAGTGGCTTAGAATAAATTGTAGGGTCCTCCGAAAAACCGCCAAAAAAAAAAAATAAAATGAATAACATAAAATAATATATGGTGTATAAGACACTAAAAGAAAATAAATGAAATAATATGAAAAAAATTGTAACATTTCGCACCTGAGAAGACGATCTCTGCGGAAATGAATAGCATCTAATGAATAGCAAATACCGCAGTCAATGGAACAATGAGCTGTACGAGTTATAAGATGACATTGATATAGTTCAGCGAATAAAAAGACAGCGGCTACGATGGCTAGGTAATGTCGTCCGAATGAATGTAAGCGATCCAGTTTTGAAAGTGATCGATACAGTACCCGCGGGTGGACGCTGAGGAAGAGAAAGACCTCCACACCTCTGTAAGGATCAAGTGGAGAGCGACCTGATTGCACTTGCCGCGCTATTGTTGATTCGGCTATGATCGTGTAAGAAAAAGAAGAACGAATCGCTAGTCAAAACTCGGCAGCAGCTTTTTGGATTTCTGGACGATTCGAATGATTGAACCAAACCACTTACCAAATCAATTTATTTTGGTTTGTATATTTACCCTGCATGGATTTTGGAAGTTCGTGGACACGTTAGACTAATGTTGGTCATACCAATTCCATATATACCTACATATAATATATATATTTACACATACTTACATACATACATACATACATACACGTGTATATGAGCACAAATAAATTTGCTAAATTTGTATAATTTGCGATTACAAGCAAATTGCATGTGGGAATTATTTGAATACTTGTACCATTTCATGTTTATGTTAATACATTGTTGTACATATTCATGCCCTTGTACCATACTTTTGTATATATACCGAATGATCTGATCTATCGACTGCACTACTTACCCAATTGGAGTTTGTTTAAAATATTTCCAGTAGTCGGTATGACGATTTTGACGTTATGGATATTTTTGTTCGGATTGCTGAATGGAGTTTGCATGGTAATTTGAGTGAAAGTATATACAATACATGTGTAAAATATAATATTATATATATAATAATATGTAAAAGTGTGTATATCAATTTGCCAATTTCAGGGTGAACAACCGTACACTGTACAAAATGAGGGCTTGGAGCCATTCAAAGGCTTGCAAGAAACCTGCGTCGACATGTCGAATTTGAAAACAGTTGGCCGCCAACGTTTTGTGAATGGCTCCGTCATAGTACTGGAGGATATGGATAGCGATAGTTTTAAATTTCAAGTTGAGCTGTTCTCTAGTCCACAGGGTGACGGTCAATACAAACGACTTCCAATGGGTGTACCAATAACGAGAATTTGCGACGGATTTAAAGATCTGTATACGAAGATCATCCAGCCGTCCCTTATACATGGTGAAAACACGAATTTTCCGCATATACCGGATGAGGGATTGTGTCCTTTACCAGCTGGGGAATATTATATAAAAACTTTGGAGTTCAACACGGATACTTGGCCCAATCAAATACCGCGCGGGGTCTTGAAAGCTGTACTGACGTTCTTCAAAAATGAAGTCAGTGTTGGCGGAACTGTTATGAAAATGAAAATTGAAGATCGGCAGTAACACATGTGTCTTCGTTGGCAGAAAATTATTATGAAATAAGTATGTGGCAGAGAATTGTTATATGTACGTTGAGGTGGAGGGTACTTTTTTTTATAGATATTTATATATGTGAAAATTATTACAACACAAGTGAAAAATCGAATGGTTTAAAATAAAAATTATACCGCATTCTTCAACTAAAACTTGGAGAAAGACTTTTTTTATTTTGACATTTTTTTCCAAAAGTAAATAGTTAAAGAACTAAAGACTTTTCTTCCAATCTACGAATGAATGAATGAATGAATTGAATTAGATTTCTCTGAAAATTCCATTAATCCAAATACATATTAAGAAAAATACCAGATTGGATTTCAAATCATTGTCAACTTTCGAACACACCAATTATATCACTTAATATTTAAATGCAGATAAATTGCATTTAATTCTTAGTCTTTGAAGATTGGAAGGTGAGAAAGTCGGGAAAGGAAAACTATAAATTATTTTATTTACAATTCGTCTTTTGTATTTCGAGTGTGTTATGCTTTCGTACTGACTTGAACAACATATGGTTTGAAATAATTTATACTTACTTGCTATTATATCTGTTTTAAGTACTAGTTCCAAGGACAAAATGCTTCATCAAATTAAAAAAAGCTTCATTCAGCAATATCAACGTTATTAATACTCTAATTATCGGGAAAAGTCGAAATTTTCAAACATATCTGAATCGTTGTTTTAAAATTATTTATACATTTATGCAGTTGTACGTATCTATGTGTATGAATACACATATTTAATATCATCCATGTACAATATGTTATGTATCTATGTATTGTAGATAGTATGTATTGTTTGTGTTTGAGTACAAGTAAATAATTTGTTTATTAGAATTATATGTATTCATATATCTACAGAAACATTTAAATATTCTTATTAATACATACGAGTATATATTTCCATGTATTTCAATTCTAAATTTTAAGGCGTAATATCATAATAAATTTCTTTTTTGTAATGAAATTGCTTGGCACAAATGAGTTTCATAAATAACCTCTTTTTCAAATATAATTTTTTTGTATGTATTTTGATTTTGATTTTATGAATGTGTACTTTACGTTCCTCAATTTAATCCTAAAATTTAAATATTAAGCATTTGTCACTTCCATATCTGCTGTTTATTGAGTAGTTAAGTCCAAAAGCCAAATTGAAATTGTTACTCTAGTTTGCTATTGCTAATAATACGGAATGCGAGTCCATCGTTAAACTAAAAATGTACGAAAAGAAATGTCCAACTCGTTGTTTCTGAAAGAAAGGAATAAACAGTAACTGAAATTAGTATACTTTTCGTTTTATATTATATTAAATTCAACTGTGTTAATGTATTATACTTTCTAGGTGAAATTATTTAAACTAAATACTAGATATTATTCATATACTCGTATTGTAACCGGAAGTTTTGTATGAGCGTCAAAATGTGATTATTTCTGGGGCAACAACACGAAATAGCTTATGTAGAAAATTTAAAATTTGAGGAATAAGTAATTTTCAGTAGTATTAAAGCGGTTGAATCCGTTTGATTTCCTCACTTGCAAATAAACAATATAGAATTTATATATCACATAAATGTAAATTTAAAGAAATCCAAAATATCTTTTTCATCACTTCACACTTAAAATTTCTTATTCAATCTGAAGTGAATCATAACTACGATTATCAGGCATATTCTTTCGAGGTAATAAAATTTATGATACTTAGGTATTAAAATTTACCATTCAGCAGATTTTGTTACTATTTCGTATTCTGAGCTCACTGTCACCCTGTAAATTTTGTTACCAGCGAAAAAGGAGGTAACAAAGAATCTACTTATTTATTTTCTGTTTGAGAAAAAATAAGAACCAAGATGGGTTAGCTTATTTTTGGTCTGGAATTCATAGAAGATGAAGAAAACAGAGAAACAAATGACCCTATTAATTTGGAAGATGCCGTTTTCATTCAGCTTTTTATTTGTCGTTTGGGCATATTTTCCAAAATTAAGCGCAAATATTTATGATTTAATAAACACATAAATAAAACTTATTTAGTTTGAAGAACACCGTCTTCCATTTCTATGTGAATATTATTCTTTCTTACTATAGCAGCTGGCAAATATAATTTGTCAAGGGCGAAAAAAGCAGTGCTGCCCAAGTAACGAGTTCGCCAGAATACTAAATTCAATTTTGGGTTTAATAAAAGTAACAAAATTTACTTTACCGGTAACAGTGAGAATAGGCCTGTATACGTTTCTTAAGACTACCAAGTTCTTTTATTGAAACAACGGCAATTCCTAAATATTCAAGTTATTATAATGGAAGTCGAATAAAAATGTTAAAACACATAAGATAATCCTCCGTGTTTCAGAAAAGTAGTGGGAGGAAAATGAAATGATATTCGAAAAAAACTCCTCATTTTGGCTGTTCTGCAAAAGTAGGGATACAAGATTACATTATTCCTTCGAATCCGTAAAATAAAAATATTTTTCATAATTTCAAGAGGAAAAATACATAGAAAAATTTCACTTCAATCTATTGGATTTAAATGACGAGAAACATGAATTTTTGTTGTTACAGCAGTTCGCTACACCTCAGTCGTGTTGCACAAAGTGTTAGCTAACGGACTGGTAAGGCGAATAAATATCGAGGTCATCTAGCCAAAACAAGGAAACGATATGCTTGAATAGATTTCTACCGTACGGAGATTGGTGTTAGAAGAGTTGGTTACAAGAGATGATCAGTGTCAAGCGGGGTTTTGAAGCCATATTTTGAATATATGTATGTAATTTACAGTGGACGGGCCTTGACATTTGTAAAAATACGTTATTTAATCTAAAAATATATTTACATAGGTTTGAATGAAATTTGTGCAAATTTATTACCGAAATAACGGCTCGGATCGCCGAATACATAGCTCGTTTTGTTTAATATTAGTTCGACAAATCGCTCAACAGAGTCGGTAATTCGTGCACCTTGATTCGAGTTCGCGCCATGTTTACTCCTCAGAAGAAGACCCGAATTATAATTTATTTGGGGATGGATTTTGGTTTCCTGGCTTAACAATTCGTGCAAGAATTGAAGACGGAGTAAAATTATTTGAATGCCTTTTTCATGACTGAATTGGAGGATGTTGATGTGGACGACATTTGCATCCAACTAGATAAACAATCAATTTATTGAATAAAACTTTTGGTTAAGACATTATCTCGCGTCGTGTGCCTGTGGCTTGACCTACTTTTTGTGTGGGTTATGTGAAATCTGAAATCAATTTTCTACCAAGATAAACCCGAGATGACAGATGGCTTTAGAAGAGAAATTCGGCGCATTATTGCTGGCATACGGCCCTGTTTAACGCAAAAAGTAGTCGAAAATAGGTACTCTCGGCTGGAATATATTCGAGCCCGCCGCAGCGGTCACTTCCCCGGATTAATTCATCAGTCATAACATAAAATTGAAAACCACATGTCAAACACCCATCCCTTAAGCACCCATAGCTAAAGTAACATTTCTTCAGCGCAGTTTTTCACAGTTAACCGAAAAGCTGAAAAAAATATGTTAATACGCCCTGTTTACCCAACAGATGCTAATAAGCCCAACAGGAAAAATTTCTCAAAAAAGTAGTTTAACATATTTATTAGTATAGTTGTTAAATGCATTTATTTCCCGTTCTATGTGTTATAATTTTGTTTAAATTGTTGTACAGTACTTAATAGAAGACGTTAACAGGCCTATTCTGTCGAGTTAATAAAATTCATCATTCAGTAGGTTTTGTTACTATTTCGTATTCTGAGTTCACTGTTATCCTGTAAATTTTGTGACCAGCGAAATAGGAGGTAAAAAAATATCCGCTGTTTGATTTTGTGCTGGTAGTTTTAGAAAAAATGTAAACCATAATATTAGACATATTTAAGGTCTGGAATTCATTGAAAATGAAGAAAAAAGTGCAAAAACGCGTATGTTAAGAGTTTGCGAGAAAAAAACAACCCTTTTAATGTGGAAGATAGTTATTTATTTATAATTCAGTTATTTTTTGTCCTGGCATATTTTCCATAATTAGGCTCAAATGTTTATTATTTAACAACAAATAAATAAAACTTATTTATTTTGTTGCGCAACGTCTTCCATTTCGATGTGAATGTTTTCTTCTGCTGCCAAAGTTTGTCTAACAATCTACTTCACGTAAAAAGAAAATTTCAAATAAATAATATATAGCGATTTTTGAATAAGCCGGCCTATGGTCCAATAAGCAAAAATCCTCCTATTTACCAGTTTCTTTTAAATCGAACTATAAATACAAGTTTTTCGAATAAATCAGTCCGTGGTCCACTTCCCACACACCTTTCCAGGAACAATAGAAACAAACTGAAAATTTTGTTGATAAATTGTATCAGTAAGAAATTGCAATATTCTTAACGAAAAAATAATAAAAATACTCAATTACGCGTATATCTATATTTAATAGCTATCTAATGAAGCTCATTTCTCCCTGCTGGGTATTAAGGCGGGCAATCTCAAACGTGCCTACATGCTTGCTTACATTAGAACAGTTTTAGTCGAAGAGCTTCCAAAATATGGTTTTTGATGACTCGGCCACCCAAATGAATTATGGTAGAATCACATAGGACAATTAAATTGTCTCAAGAGCTGTTGTTCACAAGAGAAGGGTCAGCCACTCATATTGTGCATGAATTTTAAAACTTGCATATATGTATCTATATGCACAGAACTTGTTGTATCGGACAGGACGGCTTTAAGGGAAGGAAGGCTGAGGAACTAATGTGGCATGTTGACGAAAGAATAGCAAAGTTTTACTGTTATTTGTCTGTCGCCCAATAGCCAACTTTTGCCTTATGCCTTCGGCTGGCAGAAGAAAGCTCAGCAAATTGTGCTTAAATAAGTTATTAAGTGATGACATGAGGTTCGGTGACTAATTGACGGAAAACTATTTTGCTGGCACTTTTATTTGCTTTGTTGTGACTTTCGTTACCTCGCACTTAACTAACTGATGTACGAGTATAAACTAAAATGGGGCTTTGCTAGTAGAATTCATTTGCTAGTTTCACCGTGTAATTTAGTGTATATTAAATTAAATTAAATAGTTGGCAGTTAGAAGTGTTTGACGTGTGTTAAATAAAATACAAATCAGAAGGAGTAAGTGCGGAGTATCTATCTGGATATAAGTTTCTTTTACACATGAATGATTGAAGTCAGTACATGCAATATTCCAGCTAACTTTAGTA